ATTGTTATAATTCTTGGATTATTCTACATCACATACATGCCTCAGTATGTATCTCTCCATCTATTGCACTTTTGTGAATCATGCAAGAAGTCGTTAACTTTCCACATGATTGATGTAGCCTTGTCTAGATTTTTATATATAAGTTCCGCTATCAATCCCTTCGTATATGCTTGGAGAGTACCGAAGTATAACCAGGCCTTTCAAGATTGCTGGAAGATGTGCCGTGGTAAACTGATAAATACCTCCCCTAAATCGTTTGCTTCCTCACTTCGTCAAAGTCAGCTGCAAAGTAACATTGAAATGTCTGTGGGTGGTAGGGACAGAGCACAAAGCAAGCCAACTGAATCAACCAAGCCTTGATTTATCAGTCACAATTGTGCGAAATCCTTGATATATTTCGATTGTTTTCAGGCGTTGTTAAAAAATCTAATATAATCAATTTATCATTACTTTTTGACACTGGCTTGAAAAAAAGCGTTAGGATTTTAGGCATAGGGCAAACTTCGAACTTCAATGAGACGTACCAAACTCCTATGTAGGTGAACGTAAATTAAGTTAAGATCGTCTGTTGGGTCAGATGTCGAACTTACCACGCGTTGAACGAATCAACTGAATCAGAGTGAAAAGCAATTTTAATAAATTTTTCCCGAACCAGGCTAAATATACATTATCATACAAATTTTTAGTTCATCAGTTTAGTTCGTCGCATGTATAAGATCGATGTTCGTCTTGGAGACGATCTTCAGACGTTCTATGATCTTCTATCCGCAAGCAGACGGATAGAACGTGTTGGACGATCCAAACTCATTCAGGCGAACTCAACTGAGCCAGACGTCGAACTTTTTCAATACATTTGATTCATCTCATGAAAGGTTTTACGTTTGGCCTAGGCCTTAGTACCTTTACTGCTGTGATATTCTTCAGCTAGAAAAATGTACTTGGCCCGCTTGCTAATGGTTTAGTTGTTCAGATATATACAAATTATAATAAACAATATGGATGGATTTTTAACGTAACAGTTTTACAGTGTTCCTAAAAATAGCAAGGTTGTTCAGTAAATTTTTCAAGCGTTAAGAAAAGGCTGGCAGTGGTTATGTGGCCGGCTGCCGGTCATGTTTTGAAAACAATAAATGGCTCTAACCCATAGTACATTTAACAGTTATATTCTTTGCCGGCCCTTAGCCTTTATCCTTAAATCCTTATCTTCCCTTAGAACCAAAAATTATTTCGAGAGGAGACAAAAGCAGATTGACGTGACAGTCAATAAGCGATTTTTAAAGCACCTTGACCGACAATTTGTAAAGAAGATCGATGTTTTTGTTTCTTTTTTCGATTTGGTGAAGATTGAGATGTTGGGCCAATAATGAATTTTTATGCACCTTTTCTATGTCTTAATTGTTATCAGTCTTCAAAGCTTGTATTTAGGGCGTGCTGTGAGAACTGGCCGACAAGGGCACTCTGGGGCGCCTCTTCACCAATGTTGCAGTAAAGAAAGAATTTGGGAGAAATCACGATCGCTTCACGATAAAATATAATTCTTTTTGTTTCAGTCCTCAGAAAAATTATGAATATTTCATAACTGCTTATTTTTACCCTTTAAGTTTCTCAAAGTGTCACCACTGGACCCAATTTCTCTTCAGTCAGTCAGATAATTTTCTTGGTGCAGAATTATTTTCTTGGAATGTAACAATGAAGTTTTGCCTCCAGCTCTCGCGGGTCACTCGAGATCACACGCGTTGGATTCCCTCCTTGTTTCTAGTTCGTCCCAATTCCTGAGGATACTGTATTTGTTTTTTCCGCCCTCGCGTTTGTTCCCAGGATCTTCGCCTACGTAGCGATCGACAATGATTCTGGAAACGACACCTGCGCTTTATTTCCTTCTCTTATCTATGTCATTATCAAGTAACTTTGCATGAGTGCCATTAGCTTTTGTCTTGCTTTTTCTTTTTGCTGGATCCAAATATTATAATAGTCTTTGAAGGACAACAATTCAAGTCCCGGAAGTGACGTCAAACGTGAGCAGAGTTCCTCATCATGTCCGAGATTTTTCTTCGGTAGATCCGATTTTTCCTTCTCTTCAAAAACCAACATTTCTAATTTTCAATTCGATGTGGAATATTGCAGACGAGGAGCTACTTTGTGGATGTCCTTTAAGTTGAATAAAAGACCTTGTCTATATTATATGCCTTTACTGCTCATACTGAGGTGTACTGACACAAGGCGAGGAGACTCAAGTGATTCGAGTTCAGAAATTTGCGTGACGCAGCGCTCCGCGTCAACTCAACGTCTTTCAGAAAACACATGAGAACAGCTTTTTTTAGATCATCAGTGCACTGATGTTGCCCTGTGTTAAAACAAACTCTTCATTCAACCAATTTCTTAAATACTCAGTAGTGGGGGGTCTGTATAAATAGAGGGTGTCAATGGGGTAAACCGACTAGCGACAAAGGGCGAAAAATATTACTGACTACCGACAAAACAAGAAAAAACTACGGACAGGAAAAATATTAACCGACATTATCGATATTTTTTTCATAAAGAAGAGTACTCTGTAAATTTTTTCTAGCTTAGGAAGTGATCACATCACGTTTATGACTTATCAGATGGTCCAATGGAAAGAATTTCCTCTTTTATTGATAAGTGACATTGCTACAACCAATATCAAAATCACGGAAGTCACACCTTAAAAATACGAACGCCTTTATAAATTATATTTTTTAAAAAAAGGTGAAAAACGTACCGAACATTTCTTGTTTTGATGGATGTCACAAGTCGTGGCAAATATAGCAGAAAACGACGGTATTGAAATAGTTTGTAGAGCGTATAAAAATGTCTACAAAGACAACCCTTTTATTCCTACATATTACCTGCGAGAAATGCTTAGATTAATCCTCAAAGAAAATTCTTTCCAGTTCAAAGGAAAGCACCACCGACAAACCCACAGTACCGCGATGGGCAAAAAGATAGCAGTTTCCTTTGGCAACATTTTCATGGCATATATTGAAACACAAATTCTCAGTAAGCAAAACCGACAGTCTTTAAACCAACAGTTTGGAAAAAATACATAGATCTGTGGGACGTACGTAAATCAAACATCACAGCTTTCTTCTCTCAAGCAAACTTCAGTGAAACTTACATCACCCTAATATTAAATTCACGGCCGAAATATCTGACACTGAGACTGTGTTTTTAGACACGGTTATAAATATACAAAGGCAAAAGATTCAACGAAAAAGCTATCTTTGATGTGAATACACATCAAAGAAAACTTTCCAGTACACACATTTCACCTTTTGTCACCCACAAAGTGTTAAAATGCCGGATTTGTCAAAAGGTGAAGCGTTCCAAACTCCTCTGAAGCAACGTTTAAGGAAAGTATTTCAAACGTCAAAAATGCTTGGTGGACAGAGGCTACCCACACAATTTGAAAGAAAAGCTGCTATCAGAAATATAACTCAAGGAAGTCCTCGCTCCTGAAAGAAAACAACAAGGAAGAAAAAGGAATATGGCCTTTCCTGACACAATACTAACCCTTAGTGTCTACCATAAAAGAAGCTTTGATGAAAAAATGGAATCTCATACAAAACCAATCACTACTTTACCAAATGTTTAAGGAACGACCTATTATTTCCTGCAAGAAAGGAAAGCATGCTCGTGAGAGTCAAACACACGGTTTCACGCCGTTATAGATGTACAGCCCGTCACCCCTCGCAGTTTTTCACTTAAAGTAATTTACGTATCCAAAATGCTAGAGTGGGCGTTTTCCTCTGTGTCCAGTTAACCTCTCTTGATCAATAGGGAAACCAAGCTCTCGTTTACAATAAAACTATACTGGCAAAAAAAGGTGAAATAAACTATTATGTTGCAAAAACAATTCAGAGTTCATGAAATTTTTAAAGTGTAATGATATGATGCATTCTTAGGTTTTATTAGGATCAAAGTCTTGAAACTCAGGGGTGAAATACATAACAACTATTATAATTAACATGCATTTTTGCTTATTAACTGAGAGTTACCGACTAACGAAAATTTTAACCGACTACCGACAAGTAACTGAATTTTAACCGACAATCGTCAAGTGGACTGTACCTTTTAACAGTTACAACCCTAAAACTGTACCTTAATTGTGCTTTCAAGTGTTGAAGAGTAATAACGTTTAAGAAAACATGTTGATCATGGCTACTTTTATTTATCTAGAAATGGTTAGGAGTCGAAGAAGTTTTTAATTTTTCGAAAGTCACTAGCCGGTCCTATATTAACTCATATGATTCTCCTTTGTGCATTACTTTCTAGATGCAATTCCGTGTCAAGAAATACCTGAGTAAATAGTTATTTGTGATAAACTAAACCAGCGTAGTGGAGGACCTAAAATGAAAACTTCGGCACCCGTTACCAATACTGGTGACTATAAGGTCTAATAACAACACATGACTGTTTTGTTCAACTTCCGCAAAGAGCTTTTAAAATCAATTTCCGATGACTAATGGGTATAAGCAAATTCATTCGTTGTAGTGCTAACAATTAAAACCTCTTTCAATTTATATGGAACATGAACCGGAGAACCTGTGGCTATAGTCTCCTCTGGTCGTCATCAAACGAGTTTTGCCGATTGAAAAAGAACTAGAACTGTCAGGAAAAGGGGTTTGTATTTTTCCTTTAACTTTAGGAAAAGGATTAATCTTGGCATCCGAATTTTTATTGCTTCCGATAGTTGTATAAGCAATACATATTAAGATGTCATTATAATGGTACAAATACTTTACACGCCAATCAAACTTTAATGCATCTCTACACTATCATGGTCTACAATACCATGTAAATATAGGGTACTTATGTAGAGAAGATCTCCCCCTGGTCTCCTTATGCAAAGTCATTTTTCAAAGGTCTATTGTCACACAGGAAGCGTTGGCGTAATATAATATTAGGGCTGCGTTTAAGTAATTAAGACATTTTCGAGATCATTTCCATCAGTTCATCACGTTAGTTCTCAGTGATCCAAGATGACTGCGCTGAATTCTTCGGATCCAAACTTTGATGTTTACCTGTCGATAATTCAAGACAAAGGCTACTGGTTGACTTTAGCATTCGTTGGATTTTTTCTGGCCTTCACTATTATCATAGGAAACTCACTTCTCCTCTTCATTACTTACAAGGATCCCCAAAAAACGCTTCGTACTCCGCCCTGTTTATTGATCACCAATTTGAGCGCTTCTGACTTACTTGTTGGGCTGTTAAACGTCTCGCTTGTGGCGGTGAGAGATGTGTATCGTTACAAACAAGTAAATATGCCTTTCCTGGAATTATTCAGGGGAATTATGTATACTGTTTTCATTAAAACAGTTTTCGTCAGTTGTTACTCAATAGTTGCTATGTCAACAAGTTGCTTTGTGGCGATTAACAAGCCAATGGAGTATAAAACAATCATTACTAAAAAAAGAGTCAAGATATTTATCGGTGTTTTGTGGGTGATCTCTTTGTTGACCTGTATTCTACCTATGACGAACGTGCCTGAGAAAACTTATACGATGATTTATCTTCACACGCACGCAACTGTACCAGCCATTTTGTTGACTGTGGTTTACGTGAACGTGTTTCGCGCTCTCTCGAGACGTACACGCGAAGTTCAAAGAGAGGGCTACAACTCTGTAGCGAGTAGAGCACTGGAACGTGAGAAAAAAATGATCAAAGCAATTGTTATAATTCTTGGGTTATTCTACATCACATTAATGCCTCAGTATGTATCTCTCCATCTATTGCACTTTTGCGAATCATGCAAGAAGTCGTTAACTTTCCACATGATTGATGTAGCCTTGTCTAGATTTTTATATATAAGTTCCGCTATCAATCCCTTCGTGTATGCTTGGAGAGTACCGAAGTATAACCAGGCCTTTCAAGATTGCTGGAAGATGTGCCGTAGTAAACTGGGAATTACTTCGCCTTAATCGTTTGCGTCCTCTCTTCGTCAAAGTCAGCTGCAAAGTGGCAATGAAATGTCTGTGGGTGGTAGGCACAGAGCACAAAGCAAGCCAACTGAATTAACCAAGACTTGATTTATTCAACTATGCGAAAAATCCTTAAAAATATTTCGATTGTATTCAGGCATTGTTAAAAAATCTAATTTATTCAATTGAAAGTATTATTATCATTCTCGGATACTGGCTTGATCTTAAATACTGTTAGGCTTGGGCCCTCGTCGAATTAAATCTTTTATGAGACGAACCGAGCATTTGGAAATGTGGGTGATAAAAAGCACCTGGCCCACCTTCTCCCTTCGGCACAAAATGACTGACCTACCCCTACACCAAGGTTGGAAATTACATGACCCACCCCCTAGTATTAAAACATGGATTTTTGGTTCCCTCTTAATAATCAATTAAAACGTTGTTCTGTGCATGACAAAATTTCTTGATACATTGCTACAACCAATATCAAAATCACAGATCATACCTCTCATTGAAAAGACAAATGTGAAAGACCGACCATTTCTTGCTTCGATGGACGTTATGAGTCTTGACACAAATATACCGCAAAACGAGGCGGCATTAAAATTATCTTTAAAGCATATGAAAATTTCTACAGGCAACCTATTCCGACACATCACTTGCCGGAAATGCTTAGATTAATCCTTAAAAAAAATTTCTTCCACTTCAATGGAAAGCACTACCTTCAAACCGATGGAACTGCAATGGGCACAAAGACGGCAGTTTCGGTTCCTTTGCCAATATTTTCGTGGCATTTATTGAAACAACAACTCTAAGCAAATCCGTGTTTAAACCAACAGTTTGGAAATGCTGCATGGACGATATGTTTCCCTACGGGACAAAAGTAAATCAGACATCGAAGCCTCTATTGAACAAGCAAACTTACTTCACCCAACCATTAAATTCACGGCCGAAACATCTGACACTGGGACTGTGTTTTTAGATACGGTTGTATACAAAGGCATAAGATTCAAGGAAAAATCTATCCTTAATGTAAAGACACATTTTACACAAAAAAAGGATTTGTCAAAGGAGAAGCCTTGAGAATCCTACGAAAAAACTCCTCAGAAACAACCATTGAGAAAAATAATTCGAATTCACTGAAAAAACGCTTGATAGACAGAGGCTACCCACAAATTTTGATAGAAAACCTATTATCAGAAATAAAATTCACTGAAAGGAAGTCTAAACTCCTAAAACAAAACAACAAGGAGGAAAAAGAAATACTGCTATTCGTGACACAATATCAACCCTCACTATAAAGGAAGCTTGAATGAAAAAGTGGAATCTTATGCAAGACTAACCATACCTTCGCTAAATTTTTAAAGAACCACCTATCACTTTCTTACAAGAAAGGAAAATCATTAAAGGACATGCCTCTTAGAGCAAAAAGAAAGGTTAACAAAGGGTTTCACGCCGGTATAGATGTGTGGCCTGTCACCCCTTGCATTTTCTCACACAACAGGTTGGAGAGTATGTTAGCAATAATTCCAGCTGGCTGTGTTTTATATAACAAGTGTGGGCAACTGTCTCGTTAGTATCAGTATAGTGTGCCTACCTGAAAATTGGACGACCCACCCCTTGCAACCGGCTCAAAACCTCATTACTCACCCCGTCTCTGCTTCGGCCCACCGCCCCGCCTCCTATACTTTTTGACCAATTCCCTTAGTTCGTCGCATGTGAAGATCGACGTGTTGAACCATCCAAACCGCATTCAGACGAACTAAACTGAGCCAGACGTGGAACTTTTTCACTACGTTTGATTCGTCTCATGAAAAGTTTTACGTTTGGCCTAGGCCTTAGTTCGTTTACTGCTGTGACATTCTTCAGACCCGCTTGCTAACGGCTTAGTTGTTCAGATATATATGAATTACAATAAACCTTTTCAGACAACAATATGGATGGATTTTTCACGTAACAGCGTAACAGTGTTCCTAAAAACAGCAAGGTTGTTCAGTCATGAAAAGGCTGACAGTGGTTATGGGGCCGGCTGCCGGTCATGTTTTGAAAACAATAAATGGCTGTAAAAAAAAGTACAAACACTTATATTATTTGCGCCCTTAGCCTTTATCCTTAAATCCTTATCTTCCTTTAGAACCAAAAATTATTCCGAGAGGAGACAAAAGCAGACTGGCGTGACAGTCAGTTAAAGTTTAAAGAACCTTGACCGATAATTTGTAAAGAAAATGGTTTTGTTTCTTTTTCCGAGTTGGTGAAGATTGAGATATTGGGCCAATAATGAATTTTTATGCACCTTCTCTATGTCTCTGAGGCGCCTCTTCTCCAATGTTGCAGTAAAGAAAGAATTTTGGAGAGATCACGATCGCTCCACGATAAAATATAATTCTTTTGTTTCAGTCCTCAGAAAAATTATGAATATTTCATAACTGCCTATTTTTACGCTACGTTTGTCAAAGTGTCACCACTGGACCCAATTTCTCTTCAGTCAGTCTCAGATAATTTTCTTGGAGTAGAATTTTTTTTCTTGAAGTGTAACAATTAAGTTTTGCACCCAACCCTCGCTGGTCACCCGAGATTACGCGCGTTGGATTCCCTCCTTGTTTCCAGTTCGTCCCAATTCCTCAGGGTACTGTATTCGTTTTTTCCGCCCTCGCGTTTGTTCCCAGGATCTTCGCCTACGTAGCGATCGACAATGATTCTGGAAAAACACCTGCGCTTTATTTCCTTCTCTTATCTATGTCATTATCAAGTAACTTTGCATGAGCGCCATCAGCTTTTGTCTTGCTTTTTGTTTTTGCTGGATCGAAATACTATAATCTTTGAAGGACAAAAAACGGGGAACCGGGGTAGCAGAAGTGGTGCCAAGGGAAAACGCCTCCTGACAGTTCAAGTCCTGGAAGTGACGTCAAAAGTGAGCAAAAACCAACATTTCTAAATTTCAATTCGATCTGAAATATTGTAGTCGAGGAGCTACTTCGTGGATGCCTATAAGTTGAATAAAAGACCTTGTCTATATTATATACGTTTACTGCTCATACTGAGATCTACTGACACAAGGCGAGGAGACTCAAGTGATTCGAGTTCAGACATTTGCGTGACGCAGCGCTCCGCGTCAACTCAACGTCCATCAGGAAACACATGAGCTTTGTTAGATCATCAGCGCATATATCACGGTTGCCCTGTGTTAAAAAAGTCTTCATTCAACCGATTTCTTAAATACTCAGTAGTCTATATAAATAGAGGCTGTGAATGGGGTAAACCGACTAGCGACAAAGGGCGAAAAATATTACTGACCACCGACAGAACAAGAAAAAAATTGCCGACTACCGACAGGAAAAATATTAACCGTCTACCGACATGAACCGACATTATCGATGTTTGTTTCATAAATTAAAGAAGAGCGCTCTGTATTTTTTCTAGCTTAGGACGTGATCACATTACGTTTATGGCTTATCAGATGGTCAATTTCCTGAGGAAAGTATTTCAAACTTCAAAAATGCTTGGTGGACAGAGGCTACCCACACAATTTGAAAGAAAAGCTGCTATCAGAAATAAAACTCAAGGAAGTCCAAGCTCCTGAAACAAAACAACAAGGAAGAAAAAGAAATATGGCCTTTCGTGACACAATACTCAGCAATTATTCGCCGAAGGCGAAGTTAATATTGTTGAATAATCTCCGAGACGAAGTCGAGGGGATTATTCAACAATATTAACTAAGCCTGAGATGAATAATTGTTTTAGTATATACACACGAGTTGATCTAAACAGAATCAGAAAGGAAACCATGAAAAAAACTATTATTTTGATTCAAGGGTGAATTCATGCGTGAACATGTAGCCGTAAACAGCAGAAGCACAACAGTTGGATCTTTACAGTATTTTCAAACATGGCAAATCATAGTTTTAATTTTTTTGTAAGCTTTAGCATCAATGATTGAAAAGAAAACGTTTAAAGTTTAAATAACCCCCCTTAATGATAAGAAACACAGAGCTTTATTTTCTTCTGTCAACTCACCGTGAATGAGACGGTTTTTTTGTCGCTTCTTGCCAGATAACTTCAAGTACCGCGATACGGTCAGACGATACAGGTCAGCGGATACCTTGTTTTGACAGTTCTCAATTGATCACAACGTTGATGTGCAATCAGTTTCCTCCTGGGCTCCCAAAGTAGATAGAAAGTGTGAAAGTAAACATTGGTTCTCCTGTGGTGAGGACGGACGGACGGTCGGGCGATCGGTCGGAGTACGGTCACGTGATTACCAAATTTTCGGGGATGGCAGCATTGCCGAAACGTCGGAGTTTTATTTGCAATTATCAGCGTTTAACTTACCACCTTCCCACTTTTAGCCCACGCAAACGCTATGTACGAACCCCCTTTATTTGTATCTAGACTTACTATGCTATGAGGCTCCACCTACGCGCGCGCTTGGCGCGCGCGTAGAGCCCCGATTCCTGCATTCAGCAGTGAATCTTTCACGATAACTTCGCAGTATTCGCCAGATTGAAAAAACTTTGAATGAATAACATCGCTATGAAGACATGAAAATCAAATTTAAGAAAACGGAACTAACAAAAATAGTATGACTTTTACTCAGCCCCCATCAAGAATTTTTTTCTAGCAATCTGGTGGGCAGGATATTTTTTCCCTTTTTCCCCATAAGCTTTCTATTACATTTGTGCTGCATGCAATTTTTTTCTTCCGACAAGTGCTTGCAGGAATTTTTTTTTTCAAAATCACCCACCCACCCTAGTCAAATTAAAACCAGCTATTGCGTGTAAAATATTTGATACCCTTATCTCCACTATCCTGACATATAATAGTGAAATCTGGGGTGTGTATGCAAAACCAGATTTTAAGGCTTGGGACGGTACACAAATTGAAAAAACACACCTTCAATTTTGCAAACGGTAGTTAGAGGTAAATAACAAAGCTTCTAATATAGCATGTAGAGCTGAACTTCGTCGCTTTCCTTCAAGTATCACTATTACTCAAAAACTTCTCAACTACATTTATATTCAGTCTAAAACCGAAGACTCTTTTGTCGAACAAACCTTCTTAATGTCATTTGATCTACACTCCAATGGTAAAGTAGATTTCACTCCCATCTCATGAAGATATCAGAATATTTCAACATACCTAACTTTAATCCTAATTTGTTAGATACCGCAATAGTCAAAACCTTTGTACGCTTGATGAAACAAAAATATATCTCCTATTGGAAAAACACCCTCCAACCTTCTCAAAAACTAGAATTTAAATAGATCTTTTAAAAACGAGCAAACCATTTCTAATTATCTAGATTTAACAATAGGAACAGCCGAGAGAAAGGCATTAGTCAAATTACGAATTAGCAATCACAAATTAATCATTATATTTGTGAACAAGGTAGATACAATCAGATATCTAGAGAAAATAGACATTTCAAATAGAAGACGAAATTCACTTTCTTTTTCACTGTTCTAAATACTCTATAATGAGGAATAATTTTTACCACAAAGTTCAATCTCTGATACCCAAATATTACCCAATTACACGTCAACGATCTGATCAATGAACAGATGAACTCCTCAAATTACTATATTAATTTACAATTGGTTAAATATATTTCAGCTTGCTTTGATTTCCGTGACAAATTGTTAGCAAAGTAAATTAATTGCAATAAGATGAAATTTTAGTTTTTCTGTTTTTCTCTTAAGGTAGCTTTTTGCAATACTATGTGTACATGTATGGTCATGCAACAGTAGTAGTGGGCGGCTTTTCAGGGCTTTTTTATCGATTAGTTAAAGAGCCAATTATAAAATAATATAACGAACACGTGATCAATATCGATTTAGTGACGTCACCACTATCTGTGAACGGGAAGTTGTTAAACCGGAAGTGTCACAGGACAACATGTTGTGCTGATTACTAAGAAGCTAAAAATAACTAAAGCGAAATCAAAAACTCGGTTCCCATTGGCTGAAATTTCACAATTTCCTGTCAACCTTTCAGGAGTTGCCCAATCATAGCCTTTCGGGTGGAAATTGACCAGTCACTGTTTGCCCCTTGGAATGGGCGGAGCATTCATGTCGTTATTAGTAGCTGTCTGACTAGAATGTCCTCATTTTTATCAAGATGGCGGAAGATGAGGATGTTCCATGTCAGAGAAAACGTGAAAGATAATATCGATTTTAGTGACGTCACCAGTTGTTAAACCGTAAGTGTCACAGGACAATTTGTTGAGCTGATTTCTAAGAAGCTAAAAATAACTAAAGCGAAATCAAACGTTACTATTAAATGGACGAATATTTTATTTAAGCAAATCCAGGTATGAACTACAGATCTCTTCCACTCTTCTGAGATAGAAATATACATATAAGCACAGCACTAAACAGTACCTAAAATCTTCTGAGAAGCAGGAAATCGCCTCCTAAAATCGGCTAAATCGCACCTTCGATCGTCTCCGAATCGCGATAAACTTATGGAAATTACCTTATGAAGCCAATAACAAGCATCTAAGGCCAGTATGAGATCTTGAAAATTCTCTAAGTCGCTCTCCTCCGTAATGTTTTTCAGAAAAGGAAGCAGTATTTTGATCCCGGGTTTTGATTTCTCTCTCTCACGAGATGCGAACTCGACCGTGTCGCGATTGAAATAAGGCACATAAACAGTTTTACCCATGAACCTTTGTGGGTCGTGACGCACACCGCCTAGTCATGCAAATAAAACTTGTTGTTGTTGGAACAATTATCTGTCAACAGCTGTAAAACTGACCAATCGGGCTCCGTTTCTGGGCTGACGGAGAGTTTGTTTACAACAAAAGAGCCGTCCGTAGTCCGTCTTTTCTTGTCCTAATCCCTTATTGTAACATAAAGTCGTGGTTTGCAATCGCGCTGGCTGAGATAAGAACTAAACGGATTTTAAGAGAAAAGGCGGACTGCAAGCAGTCTAACATAAAGCCGAAATGTCTGAAATCTACAACGTCGTCTTCTACGCCCGTAGGCACCGGCAGCGGTTTGTGCTGCGTCACGCAACTCAAAGATTCCAGTGACTTTAATTATATAACCTCTTGTATATAAAGCAAGCTGGGGACCTCTGGGCTGAGGAAATGGAAATTCCTCTGACCGTAATCCATAACCGGATTAGCATTCGTCAAGCAGGTCTACATGGGGTAATACTTTTTTTTTTCAAATAACAATTAAGTATTTTCTTGGCTTTTCTGCGGTTATAACGATTATTTTCAATCCATTGCAGTTAACAGAGACCTGAAGAAGACAAATCTATTTTTTTGAAAAAGTTGTCAAGTTTTGTCAATTTCGACCTCTAAAACCCCTTTCAAGATGGAAAAAAAGGGTTTTAAGGGAGCCCTCAGCCATGAGAAGTCACGTGAAGGCCTAACAAGCTTCTCTGCATGACCAGTTTTACTAGAAAGTTCTTAAGGTTAACTTTTTATGACCAATGTTTAAAATTCCTGCCTATAAATATATAGACTGCGAGAATGTCGTTCTTTGTCCAGTTAACCTCTCTTGATTACTTTTTACGGTGGCCTGTAAGCAGTAGGGAAACCAACAGAGCGAACGATTAATTTTGTTTGCGAATCGCGTGACGAATTTCGCGATAGAAAATTCAACAGTTGTCGGCAGAGGCTACTTTTCGCACGCCAGCTCACACAGCGAAAATGTAGCCTCTGCTCGCATGATACCGAAAATTTTAACCGACTACCCACAAAGTAACTGAATTTTAACCGACAACCGACAAGTGCTCCCCCCCTCCCCCCTCCCCCACTCCCCACTCAACTCCCCGAAATAGGCCTTACAACGGTTTTGGAAGCCATCTTGACTGGTAGGCAACCGCGTGAGAAATTACAGTGTTTGTATGAGAATCTAATGTCGAATAATTCTGAAGAAATATGAATTGTAAACTAAAGCTTCACTCCTGACGATTCTACTGAATACTAAAAAAATGGTGGGCGTTACATGCAGTTACACGCGCTAGAACCACTTTATAAAATTTTGTATACAGTCACTGTCTCTAAAGATTTCTCTTCCGGCCGACTAAAATTTCCCGGGAAAAGTTTCAGACAAATATATGGAAAATCTAAGCAAGCGTCTGGAGAAATTTAAGCGCAGTAACGGCCCCCAAAATTTCTTAGTAAAATCCTTCGCTTGAGTTAAAAATTCATATTTTTTTTCATAACAGCCGTTTTACGGAAATTATTCGACATTAGATTCATAAACACTGTTTATTTATTCATTCATTTAATCAAGTTTCAGATTTACAATTACAATGACAATAAAAACAATCAATTACTCAGTCTGAGGTAGGCTCAAAACAGAGTACAAGACTCCTTAAAAATAAGCCACTGTAATTTCTCACGCGGTTGCCTATTGTCAAGATGGCTTCTAAAACCGTGATAAGGCCTATTTCACCTTGACACTGCCTGGAGACAATTCAGCATGACAGACACATTATTCTCCCAGAGACTCAATTTCTACCATTTGCTCTAGGGCAACCCGGTTCTCCTATTTTCAGCCTTACACAATGCCATCCACTTAAATTAATGAAATAACAGCAACAAAATTAACTGTACCTTTTAACAGGCAACCTCAAACTGTACCTTAAATGTGTGCTTTTGAGCGTTGAAGAGTAATAAAGTTTAAGAAAACACGCTGATCCTGTATGTTGATTAAACTACTTTAATTTATCTAGAAATGGTTAGGAGTCGAATAAGTTTTTAATTTTTCGAAAGTTACAAGCCGGTCTTGATTAATTCGAATGATTCTTCTTAGTTCATCGCTCTCCAGGTGCAATTCATGTCAAGAAATGCCTGTTATTTCTGATAAACTACACCAGCGTAGTGCCGAGAGGACTTGAAATGAAAACTTCGGTACCCATTGCCAATACTGGTCACTATATAGTCTAATAACGACACCTTACTGTTTTGTTCAACTTTTTAATGAGCGGTTGAAATCAATTTCCTATGACTAATGGATATAAGCAAATTAATTCGTTGTAGTGCTAACAATTAAATTCTCTTTCAATTCATATGGAGAACATTAACAAATGTTATCACCGTGTATATCTCACCAAAAAATCGTCTTGTTTGAGACACACCCTTAACCGGGGAGCCTGTGACGAGTAGGCTCCTCCGAGTCGATCAAAAAGTTTGACCGACTATAAAAAGAACTAGAGCTGTCAGGAGAAGGGGTTTGTATTTTTCCTTTAACTTTAGAGAAAGGATTAGACTCGCCGCACGCGAATTTTTATTTCTTCCGATAGTTGTACAAGCAATAAAAATTAAGTTCTCATTATATTTCTATATAATGGTACAAATACACACCAATCAAGTACCAATTAAGAAGTCAGTGCCCTGTTTAGTTAATTGATTAATTTAACAACTTGTAAATAACTATAATATTCTGCTTTGGGTACAATAAATTTGTTGTTGTTGTTGTTGTTGTTGTTGTTGTCAAATTAATGCATTTATAGATATCATGATCTACAAAACCATGTACATATAGGGTACTTATGCAGAGAAGGTCTTATGAAATGTCATGTTAAGATCTGTTGTCACTCAGGAAGCGTTGGCGTAATATAATATTAGGGTTGCGTGAGATCTAAAGAGGTTTAAGTAATTAAAACATTTTCGAGGTCATTTCAGTTCATCACGTTATTTCTCAGTGGTCCAAGATGACTGCGCTGAATTCTTCGGATCCAAACTTCGATTTTTACCTTTCGATAATTCAAGACAAAGGTTACTGGTTAACTTTAGTATTCGTTGGATTTTTTTTGGCGTTCGTGATTATTATAGGAAACTCACTTCTCCTCTTCATAACTTACAAGGATCCTCGAAAAACCCTTCGTACTCCGCCATGTTTATTGATCACCAATTTGAGCGCTTCTGACTTGCTTCTTGGGCTGTTAAACGTCTCGCTTGTGGCGGTGAGAGATGTGTATCGTTTTAGGCAAGTAAATATGCCTTTCCTTGGATTATTTAAGGCAATCATGTATACTGTTTTCATTACAACTATCTTCGTTAGTGGTTACTCAATAGTAGCTATGTCAACAACTTGCTTTGTGGCGATTAACAAGCCAATGGAATATAAGACCATCATCACTAAGAGAAGAGTCAAGATATTCATCGGTGTTTTATGGCTGATTTCTTTGTCGACCTGTGTTCTACCTGTGGCGAACGTGCCTGAGAAAACTTATACGATGATTTATCTTCACACGCACGCAACTGTACCAGCCATTTTGTTGACTGTGATTTACACGAATGTATTCCGCGCTCTCGCGAGACGTACACGCGAAGTTCAACGAGAAGGCTACAACTCTGTAGCGAAGAACGCTCTGGAACGTGAGAAAAAAATGGTAAATGCCATTATTATAATTCTTGGATTATTCTACATCACATACATGCCTCAGTACATAACTCTTCATCTACTGCACTTCTGCGAATCATGCGAGAATTCGTTAACTTTCCACATGATTGATGTAGCCTTGTCTAGATTTTTATTTATAAGTTCCGCTATCAATCCCTTCGTATATGCTTGGAGAGTACCGAAGTATCGCCAGGCCTTTCAAGATTGCTGGAAGATGTACCGTGGTAAACTGAGAATTACCTCTCACAAATCATTCGCAATTCATTCGCGGCGTCGAACGTTTTTGGATGGTAGGAGCAGAGCGCAAAGCGATCCAACTGAATCAACCAATCTTTAAATTATTCAATGAGTTATTCTTGATCTCTCGGAAGACAATATTTCAAGCTCTCGCAAATTTCGCTCGCTTTTACTATATATTTAAAAATAAAGAAACTGTAATTATTGCAGTGTACAAGCGCCGGAACGACACAAAACGTGCGTTACTTGTTTAGTTATCAACAAGAAAACAAAATCTCCACAAGTGGGCCTTTAATTAATGCACTTTGGTAGATCACGGCCGCTTCAAAGGATGTTCGGAAAAAGTCAACAAACAAACTTCAAGGTTATTCTTAGGGTAATTACATTCATTTGGTGAACATTGGAATCGAATAATTAAGTAGTTTTAAATGAAAAATGCTTTTATAGATCCTGAACCCGTTACATCCTTTTGCCGTATCTTGCACCTTGGTCAGCTAAGCTTCTTAATTCTGACAAAAATCCTTAATACTCCTAAATGTTACTGCTTTAGCAAAAGCAAAATGGCGAGCAAGTCACGTAGCTGATAAAGAAAGATCAATAAACCCAGATAAAATCAACCTTTTGTTGAGGTCTTTTGGAGAATGACGAACTTCATTATTGTGTTTATTTTTGTTTTCATGCTTTATTTGCCCCTGTAGTTGGGAGAACAATTTTATCGTTTTAATGTAGTGTAAAATTTTCTATGTTATGAACTTTTCCACAACTGACAAAGGAATGGAGAAGAAAACTCATTTTTGTCAGAACTGAGAGAACGGAGCATATAATGAAGTGAAGGAGGGCACACCCGTTAGAGATGACTCGAGATCGTTCTCGCGTGATACCCACTCCTCTTTCGGTTTTTTCTTGTAAGTTCCGCATGATTGTTATGTTTGCTGTAGCCTCCCACGCAAACTATCCAAGGAATTCAACACGCGCCCCCAGAAAGATCTGCTCGGAAGGCTAAATTTCCTACGTACGGTTACTCGAAATACTCCTCTGTCCTACAAAGGTTCGGATTTCCAAAAAAAAGGGTCACTCAAGGTAAACTCTGACTGGTGGGATGGATAAGAAAGTGTGGATGGGTGACCAACCTTGAATAACCTGTCTTGTAGACTCCTATTTTTTTGTTTCATTTCTCTCTCTGTCTCTTTTTTTTAATGCGCCGATGGCATAACATATTTGGTATAATTTTATATTGTCGATGTACAGATGGCAACAGTCGCCCTGTTTCTAGGTTCTTCGCCTACGTTGACAGCAAGAAGGATCCTAGAAACGAAGTCAGGCCTTTTAAGTCAATCCTTTTCAATCACTTTACAGTGTTAAAACACTTTACGAACTCAGTATTTTGATGAATAAAAGACAAATTTTTGTTCTTCGGGTATCAATTTCTTGGTATGTGTCTTCACTTGAGTCCTTTTCTATTAATCCAGTTTGTTTTCTATAAACTTCCTATCCTGTCATAGTGAGTTTCCTAGGCGGTGTTTTTTTTTATATATATATTAAAGCATAACAAGTTAAGTCTTGAAGCAGTTCAACTTCCCGACGAAAAACGAAAAAAAAGGACACCTTACTTGGTCCGCAATTCATCCTGTAATATTGCCTGAATTATTTCGTTACGGGCTGAAATTTTTACTAAGCCGACCAAAAAAAGAAAACAAAATTGTCTTTCAATTACCTATCAATTCATGACTTAGCATACTTTCTTTATATAGGCCTGTGTCAATACTGGCTTGAATGCGGTTTGGATATATACTAGTCGGCTCCTTTCACAGACAAAAACATCAAATATCATGGCCTTGAGCCAGCCAAGGTCTTAATACGTAGTATCGTGCATTAGCGCAAGGAAAGCCATGTACAACTCTTCAGTCTTGATGAAAACTTCACTGATAAAATATCTATCCGGGGTTTTTTCTGCAGGCAATTCACAACAAGTTTTGACGCTGCAGCGTTCAGCACTCAGCTGTATGTAATGAAAGCTTTCTCGCAAGAATTTTGCCATTAATGATACACTAAAAATATATGATAACTGTGAAATATATCTTATTTTTATGCTCATTCTTGGACAATAGATTTCATGTTGCCGTGCGTCGTTTCATCAATAGATAACAAATGACGTCAAAATGGGTAAAAACAAAAAAGTGCTGGGAGTGTCACGTCTCTCACTGGTTCTTGGTCACTGGTGTCCTCACCCAAGAGAGAATAACGTCATCTGTGATCTGTTACTGAACAGGCGCACGGCAAAATGGAATCTATTCGTTGCATAAAATCCATTAAAAAAGAAAAGAAAAAATAGAAGAAGAAAAACAAACTTTCCCCCAACCGCAACCACTCGACTTTTGCAGGATTTGTGCCAGTTTAGGTATTTTCCAAGTCACAAACGCTACGTTTCGTCTTTGCTTTTTCGTTTCTTTGTTATCTTACTTGTAGATAGTCTTTCCCGAGCCGGGTGCGTTTCAAGGCCTTCACTTGCTCAAAGAACCAGAATAATCGTGCAAACATTTTCCGAACTGCGAGTGTCACACGATGCAACTGTTGTGAAGATTTCCTCCACTAGGCTCAAGTCGCCAAGAACTTTTTTGTGTTGGTTTTTCCGTGTTTCGTACATGTAAACAGCTCCTGCTCAGGTTTTTTCGAGACCTTCACTTGCTTAATCCAAAATAATCTCGCAAACATTTTCTGAAAACTACCCGCCATGTTGAACAAAACAAAGAAAACAAGTTCTGACGTCACCTGTGTGTCTGTACTCCGTTAGATCGTGAGCAACAACCAATCACACAATAAGCGTGCGCAGCATTTACTATATTGAAAGATTTTTTACATATCATATTTCATAAATACAATGATAATTATACAATTACGTTTTATCCTACATGTACAGTTTTAAATTCTAACAAGTACTTAGGACAGCCTAATATATCATAGGTAATATTGTCCACTGCTTCGCGTAACAGTCCGGCTCTCCTTGCAAACAACGTCATTACGAATAACAATACTACAATTCTGAATTATCGCATGCAATGTATAGCTTCCTCCTTACAAATTTTAATAGTTCCTTTATCCTCTCGGAGTGTCATTTTTTTCGAAAATTTTTAAGTAGAGCAGTTCATATTGCAATGTTTTAAGGTAATTTCGGTGACTTTTTTGGTTTTGCGTTCGTTGCTCTTGCGCGGAATGGATAGAATATCCTTCTTCTTTTTGGGTTCTCAGTTCGAAAGTAAATCTAAGATCGTTCGTGATCGCTCAGCGCATTTCCCCGCACTTGGGAGCCACTTCAACGTACCTGTCTCGTGATTAGATCCTTATTCAGAATAGTTCTTTTGCTACAACGTTCCACGACTCCTAAACGACTCCTTCGATTTTGGTTTCACGGCAAATTGTACCCCAATTGTACAAACAAATCCAACGTCTGTACGGATGTCCTAATAAGTTATTATATCAAGTGAAACCCTGGATACTGTAAAATTCCGAAAATAAACCCCTACAAACATAAGCCGGCCCCAAACACGCAACGCAAAAACCCCTCCGTTTAATCGCTCCTCCGAATATAACTTCCCGGGGGCTTGTACTTGGAAATTGCCCTCAAATACAGTGTAGAAAAAAGCAGAAACGGTAAGCTAGCCCAATCAATTTTGAAGTGAAAAAAGTAAGCCCCTCAAAACGGGTCTTTGAAAAATATAACCCCCGCATCTTATTTTCGGAATTTTACGGTATATCTACGTTCATGATGAGGGCTTGATTTTCCAATCGCCACTTTCAGTCTTGATACGAGACATAAGAAATTTAGAATTGATCTGTAATACATCATTTCACTGATACTCATTCTAGATTTTTAGTCAAGGTGCACACGCGTTTGGGCCTTAGATGCTCATTAACTAGGTTTGTTAAGTCGAAAAAACCCAGTAGTTAACCTTTGCATTTATGTGAATTAATTGAAAGCAAGAACTAAAGTTTTTTCAGGCTAAAATTGTCAAACAGTTGACGCAAATCCCGCTCCTATGATGGGTGCACATTCTTAGACGACGTAGATGTAGACGCAAGCCTGGGTTTGAGGCACAATATAGCATTTTGCAACAAGGACGTTGTAGAGATCATAAATGTAATATCTGATAATTTCAGCTCTCAGCAACGAAGTACGGTGATAACAGAGTTAAGTTTACGGAAAACGGCAAACGCGAATTTTTACCACGTGACCAAGTTTTCCCGTCACTTGTCTTTTACTGGTAATTACTTCTACAAAAAATGGTAGTTTCACGCTAGTTTTATTTATAAGATTTAGTTAGCACAGTTTTCACCTGCTCATTTAAGAAAAATTCTCAACTTGAATCTGACGTTCGCCGTTTGCCGTAAAGTAATGTGACTCTAATTCTCTGATTTAATATTTGTTCTGTTACAACAAATTAAGTTTTAGTCTATTCGTCTTAGCACATACATGTCAGAATTCGTTAGTAGCAATCTAAATTTGAAAGATTTTGCAGTATATATTCTCTCCAAGGAAAATTTACTTGCATGGCCTCATAATAGTACTTTCGTTACCTGTGTATAGTTATCAGACAAATAATAAATATGTATTTGAAATGGTATTCAAAGGCCTGAAGAAATGCTGATCTCATTGGTATTTGTCCGAGTTGACAGAAATCTGAATCTCACATCCTTTGGGAGCATTTTAAAACAATCTTTTAATGCTCGACGATATTTTGGTACCCTCCAGGCGTAGATGAACGGGTCAACAGCAGAACTAATGAACAAAAACCGCGATAGGACTACGTCAATTTTATGAAAAGTTAAGGATTCTCCACATGCCTTACAGAGGTACAGCAAATGGAGTGTGATGTATTGTGGAATATAAGTAATATAAAACATTGACAGAACAATTATAATCGTGATTACCATATTTCTTTCCCGTACAAGGTTATGTCTTGTTCCTAGTTCTGATTCCTTGAAGCTCTGGCGAGCCTCACTCGTGCGTCTCGCGAGAGCTTGAAAGACTTTCACGTAAGTCATCGTGAGTAATATGGCGGGAATTGTAGCGTGCGTGTGAAGATAAATCAATGTGTAGGTCTTCTCCGGTATGTTTGTTGCTGGTAGAAATGACATGAGCAAAGCGGTTGTCCATATCAGTCCAATCGAAACTTTGATTCTTCTTGTTGTAACTGTGTTCTTGTACAGAATAGGCTTGTTAATAGCAAAATAACATGTAACGGACATCGCTATTATTGTTGTGCTACTAACAAACAGCGTCGAGCAGACAACAGTGTAGATAACAGCCTTGAAGACTTTAACGTGAGGCATGATAGCCCTTTGGTATCGATAAACATCTCGTAAAGCCACTAGAAACACAGCCACAGAACCCTGTAGAAATTCCGCCGCGCTTAAGTTCGCTATAAGAAAACTCGGTGGAGTACGGAATGATCGTCTTGGGTCCTTGTAAATAGTAAAAAGTAAAACAGCGTTTGATAGGGCAATCATGACCGACAAAATCATGCCAGCTATCGCTAAGCCTGACCAGAACTCAGGAGCATCTATGATGTCAGCATAAAAATCGTACTCATCCTCGGTAGAATTGCCCATTGCCAAATGTAATCTTCCGTAGAATTACAAATCTTCTTAGACGGCGGGTTCCTGAAATGACTTCTATTTCTTACAATTCTCAAACGTTTACAGTTTTCGTTAAGTGAAGGTAAGTCACGTACAATCTTACGTAGCCTTGACCATTTAAAAGTTTCACACTTTACGATATCTGAATTTACAGCTTGAAGTCCGATGGGAACTAACCGTTGATGATGTGAGATGAATTTGATTAATTTTCTCTGTTTTATTCATTGGCTGAATGAGAACTTTTGAAGCCAATGGGCCAATAGCAAGGTAAATATGGCAAACTGAATAGAAATTACTGGAAACAGCGTTACACTAGCTTTTAGGAAATGAATGCCAATTAAACAATAGATTTTCTTTGAAAAACAAACGACATCACACCTTTATTCATAGATTTGATGAGGCTGTTGTGATCATATAATAGTTTATGAAAATTCTTCCTAAAGGTTGCCAAGATTATATCCGGACGTGACTGGGATTTAATTAAAGAGACTTAAAATGATTTGGAAATCTTATAATCAGTAGGGAAATACATTACTTAACCGGAGTGCTCAGCTGAATCGCTTTTGTAAAATGTAAAAAAGGATCATAACTGGCTTAAAATACTCGCATTTTGGCAAAGAAAGCTGCATTTTGAAACAAATTAAAATTTTACCTCAAAGTTTCTCGGCCAATGATCAGAAGTTAGCAAAAAAAAGGGGGTAATTTGCCGCCACTGTCTTGTTTTCCCACGCTTTTTGGAGGCGAGATAAATGAATCCCGCGAGTTATCAGCAACCTAGTTTCCACTCTCTCTCTCCCTTCTCATACGAGAGAGATCAGGGAACACTGGGAACGAGGTTGGTTTGTCAGCTTTTCAGTTTTCATACTACTACGGATAAATGAACTGTTTCTTTCGATGACAGTTGATATAAATTGCGGGTAAACATAAAGCGACGGTTTTTGAGGCCTGTTTATTATATGAGGTGAGTCAGCCCGGTTAACCTGGGACTGGCCCGCTTTACCGAGCTGGCTCGGCTCATGCATTGTTTCCTCATAAATTTTCGTTGTGTTCATATGGGGAAGCGGGCTGGCCCGCTTGCCGAGGGACATCGTAGTTACCTTAGTCGAGATCAACTCGGCAAGCTGGCTAGTCCTCTTCCTCATATAAATTAACACAGAAAAAAATTTATGAGGAAACAAGGCATAAGCCGAACCGGTCCGGTAAAGCAGGCCACCTAACCGGGCTGGTTATCCTCGTATAAACAGGCTCTTATGTTGTAGACTAAGGTTAAAATAAGCCTGTTTTCTCTAACACATTTGCATCGAAAACGTTTGCTGTTTAAATGTTTGCAGCCAACCATTAGTTCCATGATTTTCTATTCTTTATATTTCTTGGATGTCGCGCTGTAAAATAAGCCACCGAAAAGTACCTTTTTTTTTATTATATTGCACTGTAGATGTACGAAGTAGTCCTTAATTTTAAGTCGCGCATGATCAAATCCCTTTTAAGTGTGGCCCAAATCATTGATTGAAGTGATCACTCTCTGGCAGTCCATTCCGTTGTATCATTGTTATAGACAGAAAAAATAAGTTACCACTATTTTTGATCGATTGGTCTCAAACTTAATCTCCTTCTTACTTAAAATTATCTACCAGAACTGCCAAAACGGTAGAGCTGTTTATTGATTCAGCAACATGATGTCATAAATCCCTGATGCGTGAGACTCGACTCCTACCACTGTCATTCGCCCATGAAGTTAATGGCCTCTGTTTCAGTGCATAGCACCATTCAAAAGGATTCACTTGAGCACCTTGGATAATAAAATTAGCCGTGTATAATACTTATTACCTAATGTTGATCGTATCTGCTGGTGATAAGTTGATATCTGACCAATAGGATCACGCTATTCAGTAAACCGTAACGGATTGTTTTAGTTACCTCATCTCCCTGGAATACTGCTGCATTCCTTTCCGAGGAAGTAATCTCGTTTTGGAGAACTATTTTGTGGCTTGATAAAGTGAAACGCCGCTAGAAAAGTTTATTCCTCTTCTCGTAGCAGGCAGAACTGAGAACCTCTTATTTTCTCCTGGAGAGTTAAATTATTATGGAACAGAGCGCCTCGTATCCGCATTGGGACAGAAGCTCAGTCGTCAGTGGGTACTCGATCCGAGGGGAAAGGTTTTCTTGATATTTACTGAGGGTTAGGTATTGCGCTCATTTAGATTTAGACAAGTTTGTGCTTGAATTTTGTCTTCTCAAAGTTTTACTTAGCCGCTATTAACTAACTATTCCCCTTAATGAAAATCGTGATCACAGGGTAGTAAATCAGTACTGTTAGTTAAGGATTTCTTTTTCTTGTAACATGTCTACTAGAATTTATGTTAAAGTTTATACTCGAAGTAATAAGATAAAGCTGCACTCAGCAAAGATACTAACTGATATCACTGCAGAGAAGATATGTTTAACTAAGTTGTGAAGTTATTTCAATGTATAAGGTAACGGCTTATATCTCGCTCAGTAACTGAGTTCCAAAGTGTATAAGTTTGTTTTGGTTTTTAAGCCGGACTGCCGGTACCCGCTTTCCTGGGATTTTCATCAATTATCCGGCACGACCGCGGTAGAAAGTTACACTAAAAATTTAATTCGTTTTAACATGAGGCTGTATGTTATTTCGCTGTTTTTTAGTGTCAGTAAAAATTTAAAAATTATTTTAAACTTAATCCATCATAGGTACGGATATTGAGGGTTCATCTTCCACTTAATAACCGTTAAATAAGTACCTGTTGCTCGAGGATTTCAACTTCAAACAAACAAATTAGTTCAGCTCAGTGCAAAGAGGGAAACTGGCGTTAACTTAGCCATTACTATATTATCATTAGTTATGTTAGCTCTTATTGTCACTTATTTATGTAATAAAGCCGCAGTTTTGTTTTCAAGTCTCAAGCAATATCGCTACTATAATTAGCTGTTTGGGAATATACTGATAGAGTAACTTGAAGGTAAAGGGTGATCATTTTGAGGATTTTCTTTTTTTCTTTTAATCTGAAAAATGCGATGTTAAAACAGGATTAATAGCAGGAACTAACTGGAAACTTTCACTTTTTAATTTGACTTTCGACTTAAGTTGTATAATGTTGTATTTTTTGTCACTAAGAAAAGGGTAAAAGTTTCAAGCACGTGTTTATCATTTGCTAGTTGCTTTTGTCCCGTTTCTTAACTTGACATTATGGCAGGCGTAGGGAGGAAGAACAACAAAACGGTAGTTTGTTGACAGTCAGAATTATAGACACAGAGTACATCACCAATCAATGCAAAAAGGGTGGATTTTGAGCTGAATGCTGGACAGAAGTTCGCGATCGCTTTGGTATACATTAGCAATGCAATGCGGGACTGGCTAAAAAAATGTTTTCGCACATTTTTCTCAACGTTGCTACTACCCCGCCTGGTTCCGGATGTCCGTTCTCTAGTTATTAATTCATGTAACAGTGATGAAACAAACAGGGTCCATTATTTGAATTTGCTGCTTTAATTTATCCATGGTTATAGGAAAAGAAAAAAACCTCTGGTATCCATGGTACAACTTTTTCGTTAGTATTTTGCCGCGCTATGAGACTGAAATATTGATTGTTCCCCTAAGTCGTCTGTCTGCACCTGCTGGAAATTAGAGAGGTGTTTAGATGTAGGAGGCCTATGAAATAAAAGGGGCAGCCCAAAATACTCAAATGTTGTTGTTATTTAATGTTTTATTGTCGGTAGTGCGTCATCTATTGTGCTTGATAAGGTAATCCGATGAAAACCGAGGAGGGATGTAAAGTGAGAGGAGGGGGGCCCATTCGGAACTGATAATCGAAAGCGGGAGAGATGACGCGTTCTTATAGGAAGAGACTCAGAAAAATTGTGGAAAACGAGTTACTTTCTTAACGCTATTTATTTGTTTCTAAACTGAAATAAAATAAAATTTGGCTCAAGTATTTTTTTTTTGTATTTTCTTCTCAACCTCGCTCCCAGAATACTCTCCAACTTTTCTGGAAATGCAAGACGGCCTGAGAACAAGGCTACCTTCTTCTACGCTTTCTTTAACTGGGAAGTTTTCAAAAGTCAGGGGCACCCAACGGCAATTTTCGGGAAAATATCTGTTCGGAAGACGATTTGAGAACTAGAATTTTCGGAACATTTGTTGTAAAATTTCTTTCTTGACTGCCTCTCCTAGGATTTTCGAACATCTACAAAATGGTATATAATACCCATTTTACATGGATATTTACCCTAAAAAAAGGCCACCTAGAATTTTCGGGAGCCATTTCCTGGCTGAAATTTTCGAAAAGGTAAGTTTTGATCCCTATAATTTTCGGATCACTAGACTTTCAGCTAGGAAATCCGAACAGATGAAGAGTTTTTAGGGGATAAAAATATGCCTATATCTACCGTTTAAATACTAAAATACGTTCAACAATGCTATGTTAAGTGGTTTTGAACTATATCCTCGTTGGGTGCCCCTGAAAAGTGTAATGTGTTGTCTATGGCTTATTAAAAAAAGTTATTAGTGACGCCGTGATTTAACATTTAAGGGATATATCTTGTTCTTCCCTAGTTAAACTGGCAAGGCGTCAGCCAAATAGCTCCGAACTGTGTTTTTCAGTTTGAATAACCCAGCTCTAATACTTTTTATATGCTCTGCGTCACGCTTTTTGATAAAGAGAAAAGTCAGAGCTTGTTTCACTTTTATATGGGACTTTGTACTGTTGCCAAGGAAACAGCGTTGTCGGTCTCTTCGCCCCATGGATAACATTTCATTTAAAATTTTAGTTAACAGTGGGAATTACTACCTATAATTGGGATTTGCAATAAATATGTTGCGGTTATTGTCGAGTTTTGTTTCATTCATTCCTGCTGACGTTATGCACAACTGAGCCCTGTTTAGACTTCTACTTGTATCCACTTTTTTAAACTTTTAAGGACTAGGATAAATGAATCTAAACCTCAAAACCCATTTATATGTCCGTCTGATCAGCTAGGTAAAAAGGGATTTTAAGCCATGTTTATGAACATAGCCAATGTAACTTATTGCTGGTAGCCTTACTTTTCTTTTACTCTATCCGCCGTCTAAGCACAAGTCGGCCATTGCGGTCTGTTAAACGATCAGGCCCCGGTTGTTCAAGCATTGGATAGCGCTATCTATAAGTTAAATCACTATCCAGCTTAGACGTATTGGAGAAACTAATTGCACTATCCACTGGATAGTGATTTATCCGGTGGATAGCACTATCCAGCCTTTGAACAACCCAGACCTCTCTCTGGAAGCGAGAAAGTGGTCTGTAGCACTATTAACAAAAAGTAAACACGCGCTTGCAAATCCATAACAAAGTTTGTTTGTCTTGGGCTCTTGTCCATTCTACAGCACTTGAATTGTTCTTTTCACTTCTTCTCCTTGTGGTGCTAGGTGAAAAAAGAAAATAGGGTTTTGTTTCGTGCTGGTTTCTTTAATTTTTTGCCATTCAGAGAGGAGAAAATATAAAACTCGGTTTATAATGTCCAAAAACGCAGGCAAGTGCTTAGCATGGAATCTCTACCCTTATGTCATTGTGCGCATCGGATATCCGTAAACTGTATTATACTTTTTTTATGTTATCATTTCCAGTCTGTATTTTGGCTGACCAATTTGTATACCTCCCACAAATTTCCGGCAAAATCGATCTACAAATAAACTGTTCTTCATGTTCACCTACTATAACCTTGTGCATTTACACAGCACATGAAGATGGAGATTGGTAGGGCCTTGTGTGCTGGTTTGGTGATCTTTTATCTAAGTATACTTTTCTGGACATATCTGTTCTACCTAGAAATTTGAGGGTTCTAATGAGAAAAATACCACAATGGTTCCTTAAATCTGAATATAAAAATGACTGGCATAGAACTATAGGAGACACTACATCAGAATCTCAGTACCAAACAAAGGAAAAATACCTCTCAATATTTCATTCCTGAACACTATACCAGCATGAGCCCCATTCTTGCTGAGGTACACTTGAGCCTTCGTTCCATCGTTGGCAGTCATCGTGTGTACAAATCCGCCCTTAGAATGCGCCGCCTTGTTCACTGTAATTGGTTGGTTAAGCGTGGGCTGATTTGCAGTTTTAATGCTATCCTTTGGTGGTACCGGCGCCATTACCGAAGCAGGGTTTTTGGCGGGAATTGCAATCAGTGGCTTTCCTTTTATGGATGTAGTGTTATTTACGGCTTGAAAATCTTGATTTGTGATTTTTAATGGTTTGTTTGCGAGCGGCATTACCGAAGCAGGGTTTTTGGCGGGAATTGCAATCAGTGGCTTTCCTTTTATGGATGTAGCGTTATTTACGGCTTGAACATCTTGATTTGTGATTTTTAATGGTTTCTTTGCGAGCGGCGTTACCGAAGCAGTGATTTTGGCGAGAGATGTAGCCAGTAGCTTTGCCTTTGGAGATACAGCGATAGTTAAGTTTGAGGGGAGGGCATCTTGCTTTTCCACCATTAATGGAGATGTAGTTGGAGGTTTAATCAATGCTCCTTCTGCGCTGGAAACAACTGTACTGTCTTCAATCAACCCAGGTTTCTTCACAACAACACCAGGTTGTGTATTATCTTTTAGTGGTGGATTCATTGTCGGTAGAGGACCTTTAAAGAAGAAAAAACCCGTCAAGTTTTTATTTTTCGTTCACCCGGACGATCAAACTCAACCTACTTTTGATGTATTTTTTGTTAGCTAAATTACAGCAAATGTATGGCATCAAAAGGCACCTCATTCTCTCTTTTATATGGTTTATCAGTCCTGTTCCATCCACGTTTAAGTAACAGAATACGTCACATGTCGTGTGTCTACATACATTCCATGCGCACCCCGCCCCCTGAAGGAAATTTACTTGACAATTTTAATAGGAAAAATTTATTTGCTCATGTCCATAACTCGACAAATTTGGTATCGCAAACGTCGTTTCCACACGCATCAGAAATGACTCTGAACAGCACAGAGAGCTTGGAAATCACCGTGCTAAGAAGCAAACTAAGAGCAAGTTATACACCGACACCAACCAAGACTTTGACTGCCGTGACGGCTATGTTATGCTGATTAGCACTAAACAGGGCGAAACAGCTGTCCATGGCTTCTGCAGCACGACTAAGGCAGTGCGCACGCGTGAGGTACTGGCCAGGCCGTGGGTTGATCGGTCGGTGTGCCACTTGCTCTTAGTTTGTTTCTTATTGAACTTGCTGACACCCCGATCGGCAGTAATGCTGAACCGCCTTCACAGCGCATGTTGTGGGAACAAATTCCGTGCAGTTCACGGCTAACAGGTCCAACATGTGTAGTGTTGAGCTGGTGCTTAAAGCACGGTGCTTTTACTGGCAGAAACAGGTCAGCTATGTCAGGCTGGTGAACCCTAGGGAATGTGAAGTAAGACGTTATTAACTGATTAGAAAAAAATATCGTGTACCTCCTTCCGGGGGAACATTTTTGATGAACTCCGCAAAATCTCCTTCGTTTCCACTGGGCCTGTACCGAGCAACAGTTATGAAGCCATACCGCTTACTGACCGCGGTCCCGACTCCTAATTCGGCTGAATTGGCCCAGATCATTTGACTAAAGTGTTTGTATGGGCCACTCCTGCTCTTGGGGCCTCCTTTATCAAAGTCGTAGTTTTTAACCTCGTCATACCAGCGTTGAACCATCTCACGACAGTTGACACAATTGTCCACCATGGCACCTTCACATTTTGGAACAGGGGGTTGAAAATATGCCAGATTCTCACCTAATGAAAGTAATAGTCCAATTTCGATGTACTGAACTGATTCATACCTCGCTCTGAGGCTTGGGGGAATATGAAATTGTTAAAAGCTTAAAGAAATTGGATTGATGTCTTTTTTAATGTTGTTCAAAGGCCAATTAAATGTCGATTGGTCTTCCGAGTAAACGCTGATTGGGAATAATCAACTTGCGTAGAAGACCTAAACCGACATGATAACCTGGAACTAAACACAGGATAATTTCTGCCCTCCAGGGCCTTCTTGATAATAACCACCGAGCGCGTAGCGCGAAGTTATTTTTAACAAGGCCGGGGAGCGAGGGTATTGTCTGATTTACATTCATCATTGTAGCCTCTAAAGTGAAAGAGTAAGCAATTACTCGTAATAATGCCCACCTATCTCACCTCAGTGACCTGCTTGCCATTTAGTATTCAAAACCTGTTCAAAACAACTGAAACACCGCATTGATAATAGATGACTGGCTCTTGTGAAAGTATTGTGTATGTTCTATCTTACCTATCTTGCGGTTTTGTATGGCCACTTGATCGTGTTGAAACGAATCAGTTGAAGCAAGTTGGTCAGCCCAAACTTGAGCTCCTTCAGCAAGGTCATGTGACCACATAAGCGGTGGGACGCCATGTTTGGCGCGATAGCTGTTATGTGCATCGAGGCAGTCTTGGGAAAACGGATCCAGAGCACCTGCCATAGTTAAATCATAAATAGAGCTAAATAACGCGTCGATTATGAAAGTTACAAATCTGTTATTTTTGGATGGCAATTAAAATCATCTCGTGAGTAATTCAGATTTGTATCTCGCACCTAAATTGCCGTTTCTAGAGCTAATTGGTAGAAACGGTGTTTATGGGTACTTTGCAAACACGTCGAGTGCCTGAGTGTCAGTTATAATCATTGAAATACAGTTATCCTCCGCAAAAATTCAACGCTGTGTGAAAGAAAAGCAATTAACATTTACATGTACATGCTTGAGGATAAATTTCTACTGGCCGGGTTTAAAGCCTTAAATATTGTTTTACACCAGGGCCCTGTTGTTCGAAAGACGATTAGCGCAAATCCAAGGTAAGTTGTTATAACAACTTCATATGCTATGTGTACAGTCAACCAGGATTACCCGGCTTTCCCGACTTCGCGAATAACTCGACCCATGATGCGATAAAAGGAGGGCCTTTATTTCATAGATACCCGTCTACAAATTACATCCTGTATCTAAACTCCGCCATTGGACTCGAATGCCTAAGATAGTGCCGCTTTCTGTTGAAGATGCATCACGTGCCCATTCCCCCCTCCCACAAAACGATGGCAAAGTCCTTTTACCTCTTAAGTTATATGAAGATATGACAGTTAAACTTTTCTTTAGTACCGGTTCGTGCGTTTTATTTCTTTCATTTGTTTCGCAAAAAGTGCCGGTCGAAGGAGACCTAAAATACAATAAAGCTATTTATGATCCTGAAATATATACCTTTATTTCCAGAAGCTTCTGAGTTTATAACTATAACAGGAGCTTTCCCATTTGTTGATCCTGCCGTAAAATATATAATCAGTCTTTAGAAACAATGTATCACCAACATGCTCTCTTAAAAATCTTATTTCTCTGGTAACAAAATAATTCTGCCTTGAGAGGCACTGGCGTCGAATGTTCACCAGAGAATATCATATATCCTGATACCAGCTTTAAGCACGTTGTCTTTAATTTGACAAGATAAAAGAGCAATTTTTCCTTGAAAAGTTGTTTTTCTTGACAGAAATACTTACTTGCGAAACTGGGGCATAGGGCATTAAATTGAGCGCCAACGGCTTCCATTTCGATTTTAACTAAACGAAAATTTCCTTTTTTTTTACCCTTTAAGTCCCGATAGTGACCAACATCAATTTTCTCCTTTATGAGAATAAATAAAATGATTACAAAGAGGAAAAATGCTTTGATCGTTTATGAAATTCTCTTAACTCATTCTATAAGGAAATGTATTGAGATCAGTTTGGAGAATTTGTATGTGGATATTGGGATATAACGGGTTAAACTCTAGAGTTCGGATAACAGAATGGCCTAACCGCCATTATTTACTGCTTTTTATTTAGTTAAATTCATATTTAGACGCTTCACCACATTTCCTACAGACAAACTTTAAATGCAGTTGTTCAGTGGATTACCTTCAACGACTTGTCCCACCCCATCATTAGCATTTTGCACAAGTATTGCCCTCCCTGTGGCCTCTACAGGAACTCCTTTCTTGGGTTTAGGCTCATTGGCTGGTATCCCTGTAGCAGTATGCAGATTGGGTGTGTTAATTGGTGATCTCTGATTTGCTTTGTTTTGTTGAGGTAGTACTTTATGCAGAATGATGTTCTTTATAGTGCCTTTCTCAGTTGTGGACGTATTGGCAGCTGGATGATGTGCCTTTGGAGACGTGCGACTGTGATGTACCGATGTCTTTTGGCGAGGTGCTATGAATGATGTGGGATATTTTTAGAAGTTATAAGTGCAGCAATAAAGTCTTGCACAGCGCCGTTTATCCCCGCGGAATGCAAGCTAGACTTACAAATAATTTTGAGGAAAGACTGTTGGGACTTATGATTAAAGTCTCTGTAGAAACATTTTTGAGGACTGAACTAATTTTGCTTTCTGAACGCAAGGAAGTGTTTTTAAGTTAGTTAAAGAAACATCCTTGGTTCCAGGGCGCATTTATTCACATAAGAGAAAGTAACAATGTTGTTTAGCCAAGCTTACTCCAGCCTCTGTTTTTACACACTTAAAAGTGTATATAAATCTCTTGGTTGCACCGCGAAATCAGTTTACGGTCTCTTATCTAAGTTCTGGCTTTGAAGTGGTTCATGATATATACAACTGGTTTAAAAGATATAAGAATGATTACATCTTAGGCTATATAATAGCAGTTGTTGTTAGGAAACGCCAGACCGATTGCTAACCATTAAACGAAAAATGGAATTTTACACCAGTTAAATGGGCTTGCTGGTTTGTTTTCCCTCCGTCATGTGCATATAACTTGTCTGTTCCAGGTTGTGCTTTTTGTTTATGGCTATTTGACTTTAACGTTGGTTATGGTCCTTGAAATCAAAATAATGATTAATTTTTCTACTTGTTGGACCCTTTTCCTGATCTTGGTTCTTACACACTAAAAGAAATCTTTCTTGTTTAGTATTATTAAATGCTCGAGTGAACACGTAACCTTAAATTTTAGAGCATAAGTTCTCAAAATAAAGCGAGAAGAAAAACAACCGACCTTCTTGAGTAGGCGATGCTAGTCCCCAAATGATTAAACAGGCATAACCAAGTACATAAGCTTTCATTTCAATTTGATTTTGTAAGAAATTGTGTTCCTTGAAGTTAACTAATCTTCAGGCTCTAACAATTTCATATAAATCAACTCTGACTGACATCAATTCAAACTCATTATTTATGACCTAATTCACTTATGACTCTATTCTATGCACTACACAGAAAGATGGATTTAGGTCAAATTTCCCAACTATATATGCGTCGCGTTTAACAGTATGGCGGACAAGAGAAGTGTCGAGGTAAATAAGTTCCATATAACTAATGACACTGATCATCGTGGATCAATAAGCAGTTTATTTCTGGGGTCCCGCTTTGGCTCAAAGTCGTGATAAACCTTTAAGTGAACAGGTATATCCCCAGCAAGCAGGTACCAGTCTAGGAATAACTGCTCTCAGGTTTTCGTCCTTTCACCAGTTTTATCAGCCTCTTTATTTTGAACAGAATCTACGTAATCATAGCGGCCTGGCGTCTTAAATGATGAACTACTAAGATACTTAGACCGACAGATTTGAGTTTGATTAATTTTGTTTAGTGTTCGTCAAGAACACTGCTCGTGGATGATGATGCATATCAGGCATAACTAAGAAATCGCCAGGGATTCTCTAATTAGGTTGAATTGGGTGTCCTGTGTTAAGAACGCGCTTTATTTGTATACATACCGTTTTACACTCACATGACCAGCAGCTCTGAAAATTTCTCCGAACAAGAGAAAGTTTTTACGTAAGAAAAAAGTTCGACTCCCATAGGATTGCGCGATTGAATGGAGACGCCATTATGGCCGCCATTTCATTGTTTTGTTCACAGTATAGCGACAAAACGGTCTATGGGCGGAGAGCTTAACTGCATATCTTGTATTTATGGTTGACCCGCATTTTCGGATGCTTTGCTTTTTACCGAGACTGGATGCTTCTTTCGTCAAACTGCTGATTTATCTCACAAGAATCTATTTAATCGCCTGGCTCGGCCTGCGACCCTCTCCGTGAATCTCTGTAGGTAAGTGAATAGAGTGCGCAACCGGTGTTTAGTAGGTCAGTTGTTTCTATACCACACGCTTGCGCGTGATGGTCACATGACCGAAGTTTTCTTAGTTTTCTCGTGTTCTCGTGTTGTGCGGCGGTTATGTTGATGAGCCTTAACACTGACGATAAATCTAACCATGTATGCCATTCCCGAATCATAACAGCATAAATTTCCGTGGAACCAAACCACGGAGATCGTTTGATGCGCCTGTGCCTGTCTTGGTCATAAATTTTATGTAAGTTTGCGCAGGTGTCCTTGGTGGTTTTCAGCTCATATGTCGAAAAAACTTTGGCATTTTCGTTGGTTTCGCATCTTTCACGCTTTGTGATTGGGTAAGATCTGACCCTAGCTTTCTCGTCCAATCAGGAGAGAGACTAAAACGGCTGTGAGCCACTGGCACAGGTTTTCTCGCCAGCGATTAATTGCACCTTACGCCTTGTGTACGTAAAGAGATTCGAAACGCACGTGGTGACCACCTTGAAAAGAAATATTTTGCTGAAACTCAGGAACGCACATGGCCGTTGCTGACTGGTTAGTTTGTTCCTACTTTGCGCCACTAACAAAATCTCTCTTTCTAGAAAATGTACCCGTAAAATTGTTGCGACTGCAACAAATGATTTACGTGAAGCTTGTTCGTTGATAATTATTACGTCGCGAGTTCATTTATTGTAGCATTCATTATAATGGACCAAACCGTTTTATGAATATTGTTTATTGGTATCAAATTAGATGATACAAATATTATTAATTAAAACTAAAATACTTACCGTATTTTAGTTTATTGCTCTTGCATTTTTATAAACTCAGTTTCCATAGGTAGCTTATTTGGCAGTCAAGTATATTATGAATCTTTATTTGTTTATCAGACTGACAGGGGCCGGGAATCTTTCCAGTTAATTTATTAGAATAAATAAATAATATAATAATATTCTATTTACTAGGTAATAAAGAACACCTGTGCCTCTTATTTATACGTTCCTTGCCCCTCACCCAGTAAGCAATCAATTTGCTACTTTTCAAGTGAGTGACATCTTTTAGCCTAAGAACCAATCCCACGCTTGGAAGTGTGAGGGTTTACTTATTCGCCTTAAAACCCTCCCAACGGAGAGCATTGCTCGCTGGTTAATATTGTACATCGTTCACTCATAGGAAACACATTTGCCACTGCCTCTTCCCCAGTCGCTCGAGATCACTTCTCGGGGGATATTTGAGCTGGATAGCACTATCCACCGGATACATCACTATCCAGTGGATAACTAATATGTAGATTTAGCCAGGGCTAAAAGCGAAGCTCTTGATACTATTTATAGTTTAATTTGACAAAATAATCGTGTAATGCTAAGTGGCGAAGGAAACGCTGAGAACGGTGAAAAAACAACAACACTAGGTCTAATTAGCAAAAAAGCAACTTTGCAAGTGCAGCACTCTTGTTTTGTACTTTTCTTTCCCGTTGTTTTGCACGAGTACAACGTGAAACTTCCAGAAACTTCCTGGCTAAAAGTTTTATGGAGGAAATGTCGTACTTGTTTCCTGTTCACTATTTTTTTCTCTGCCGCTCATATTCCCCTTGGTGGCCACTAGCATTTCTCAGTTTCTCACCGCCGCTACAAAATGTTTATGTTGTTCTTCTAACAAAAAACGTCTCCTTTCTTTTTATCTCTCGCTCTGGCTGTCTGTCGGTCTTTTTCTCGTTGACCTTCACTGTCCTGTCACCTATATTCTCTTTTTCTCTGTCTTTCTCTTTCTCTTTATTCCAAATTTGTGGGCATGAAACAATTAATCTAAGCTTAATACTTAATACAACATGGATACAGAAACAATTTCTGCTTTCCGTTTTCGTCTTTATTGACTCGTTGGTTGTCTCTGCTTCACAAGACAAGGTAGCTATGCGATTTCCTGCCAAAATAACCTCGAGTTGCATTTGGGTTGTCATGCCTGTTGATTGAATTATTTTACTTTGGTATGCCTGTGATGCGGATGGACGGTCGGTTGGACGTACGATCACGTGATTACCAAAATTTCTCGGATAGGTAGATCACCACATTTTCTTACGGGTATGGGGCTACGCTCGCGCGCGTGGAGCTCCGCTATAAGGAGACAAAAAACGGTAGGCCTTTTGCGATAGCTAGTCACGTGATCAACTTTCTCGAGACATGAAAACAGTTTGCTTTTGGAAACTTCTGTTAGCAGGAACTGAAAAAGCATATTAAAATTAAGTAACCTGTGAAGTGTCAGCCTTCATCTCAAAAGCAGCGATTGGAACGGCCGCCAAAAACTAGAAGGGTTTGTATGAGAAAAACAACTCTTGCCACCCAGTGACGTTTGAGTGGTTCTCCATACAAATCCTTGTAAATTTCGTCATTTTTAAACTGTCGTTAGATCTTTCCCTTACCACTTTAAGGGCTCAAACTGCCTGTTATGAATTAAAAAAGAGATTTGAACTCCATAATGCTTTACGAAACATTGTAAGACAGTTTGAAAATTTCCTAATTTAAAAGGGTTTGTATGGAAAACCACTTAAGAGCAAATGTTACCATCGGTCAAACATTTCGTGGCAACAGCTCAAAATTCAATTTGGCCCATATTCTCAGGTTAGGTAGACCTTAATGTAAAACAAACCGCTGCATAGTTCGTTTGGCTAAATATCGATTAGTTTTCGAGAAAATCAATAATAACCGAATCCTGAGAATTTGCCACGTTTTGAGCGTACAATTTAGGTCGAAAAAGAATGCTTCGCGTAACGAAATAACACACTCTAGAGAAATAAAATCTACTAAATCTTATAGAATGATACCAAAATATGTATCAAAAGCAAATTGAGCAATTCTTTTCTTTTCACTTTGAAAATATAATAACATTTCGCGAACACTCTTTTATCAAGATCAAAAAATGCCAAAAAATAACCTTTAATCTAAGTATGTGGTACTAAATGAAATACGTCGAAAAATCTGGATTTCGAAAGCCGAATAATCGTTCTTTTACATATCCAAAGGATTTTTGGGGGAAATGATTTAACGCGAAGAAATTCAATTTTAAAGTTGGATACAATGCCCTGTTTTAACCGACCTTCCAATTTATGTAGTAAACACACAGAAATACAAGTTTTCCAAGCATAGCATTCAATCAAAAGCGGGATTGACGTAAAAATTTAACCAACATGTTTTAAAATCAAAGACATACATTGTACTTCTGCTGTCACTTCGTTTGATACAAATTTTAATCAAACTACAAGATAATTTGTCAAGATAACGCAGCTGTCATGTTTGTTTACACCGCGCGGGGTGAGGACCAGACGTGAGATGTTTTGTTGGGAAGTTTTCCCGACCAATTATCTCTGAATTCAAGATCAGAGATCAGATTTAAAAAGTCATTTTCGTTTGTCTTTTCTCCAAAATCATTTTCGAACTAATAAGCAAACCAAAGGCAAACAATTTAACGAGCCGTTTGTCTCAAAACATGTCTTAAATCCGTGACAATTTCGCACAAGAATCAAATCTTTTGATCATGAAATTAAAGGGTCGTTTAACCTTCTTTACCAGCACATGAAGACTTCCACACTTTCATAGTATACTAACAACTTACATTTTCCTTGCGAACGTAGCCAAAACGGAGCTGGGCGTTCTCAGCAAGTTGGATTCGCAGAACATGTATTTATGGCAACTCAACGGTTGCGTGACCAATTATTATTTCCGGAAGTGAGAGCGGACGTTCATGTGCACGGACTTTTTGTGACTGGAAAATCATGAACCCTTTATATAATGCTGCTGTTAAACATTTCAGACTTACGAGTCTTTTTAGTTTCAATATCAATTTTTACATTTTATACCCTCAGCTATATTCTACGGCGATAAACCACATAAACCATCTTCAAGAAGTTCTTACTAGCCTCTGAATTAATTTCAAAACTGTCGAAGATGAAACACAACGCGTTTTTGCACTTCAACCATAGCTTAACTAAAAGCTTTACCCCAAATCGAACTAGAAAGTATACGTGATTAAATGCAGGTGCCATGACGAATTCATTGCCTTGTACAAGAAAGACGTTGCCACATCTCAAGTTCGGAAAAAATTAACACTTGGCTTTGACCATCAGCTAGTTTCTTTTTTTTTCAACAATTCAGCCCGGTAATGGTCTCCAGCTATTAAAAGGGTAAGAACATTATTGCCTCAGTGGGTTAAACGGGATCACCCGGACACGACCGGTCACGGATAATGAATTCCTCGATAAACTAATTTTAACAAAGACTAGGTGGTTTTTATGCACATTTTCCAAAAACTATTGTTAAAGACATCCACGAGGAATGATAGATAGTAAAGTAAAGTAAACTTTTAAAAAAAATTGAAAAAAGAAATGCAAATTACTTGGCCACGTGATCGACTACGCCCTCCCGCCTCCAGTGTTCGAAAATTGTAACTAACGATCCTCGTCACTTTCTAAACGTGTAGCTCTAGTTTTTCTGTATCAAAACATTGACCCTAAAAAGTGTATGCGAAATCAGTTCGGAATGGTTCCCGAATCATTACAATTTGCAGCTGAGACTGGTGTTCATTGACTAGTGCCAGTCCCGCTCTAACTAAAGTTTTCGTCAGGACGAGACGCATATCACTTCTTACCATTCCTCTAACTCTTTTTACAAGAAGAGTATTATTAGACACTGTAGGCCTACAAAAGGAGAACGGTTTGCTCTCTGTCCAGTGGGCGGTTCAACTCGAAGGATTTCTCGATAAAATAGGGCTTGGTTGACCACGTGATGCAGTTAAAAATAATTTAAAAAATGAAATTGGAAGATTCCTTATGATTGGCCTTAAATTGTTAGTCATGGGATAGCTTGAAAAAAGTTCACATTAGACCATCCCCCTTTTAAAATTCTGAGTAATCTTTAAATCTACTTGAAGATGTACAAGATTTTCCGTTTGTGGGCGTGGCTGTGATTCCTTTTCTCTCCACAGACTTAACTAATTTATAACAACTTGTTACATTTCATATAACACTTTTCCTTTTGTTGGCTTTTCCCTGAATTCTATCGTAAAATCTACCAGGATAATTTTGACGGGACAATTTACAACCCCCGCCAGTCGTCACTCGTAAAGGAGTGTCTCTAAAACGTTCTATAGACGACACACATAGCGTCAAACAGAGCCGTCAATTTCAGTTTACCTCAAGTAAGACATTCTCGACATCACTGACTATTTCGTAGGTTAATCTCTACATATTCTAGTCAGCCTTACTAGTTTTACAGCCACACCTGGCCACAATGCCTTCAATAATTTCCATATAGGGCTGCTTGCGCTTGCCAGTCATCGATGTTACATCCAGTTCTAAGGCTGCACAGATGTTCTGCAGTGTTCGTATCGAAAACTTCGCCAGCCTAGACTGACCTACGATCTCACAGATGTTGTATGTTTCGTACATGATGGGATGCTGAAGAGCTAATGCTGTCGTTACTTCGTTGGACATTTCTTCGATTGCCCTCTCTGTTATCAGCTCATTCCTTTCTAGTTCTTCCTCCTCACTGGATTGTTCCACACTATAAGTTTTCTTTGCTGACAAGCGAGAAAAAAATCCTGCTATTTGTAGTGGTGTGAGATAGTCGCACTTGTCGAAGATATTAGAGCCATCACTATGCTTTACTCTTCGCATTGCCTTTGAGACGCTCGCTGGATCTGCTTTTTGCCCAGTGCGTTCTCCAACTTGAAAGACTTCAGTCAGATAGTTTTTCTGCGCCACCGTGAGATTCTTTCTTTGTACTCCTGCTGACTTAAGAGCCCATCCCATCGGTAGCACGGAGCCATCATCCTCCACTGACATAGATGCACGTTCATCAACTATTTCTGGTAGGACGCCAGCACCACGCTCCAGTTTGGTGGCGTACATGGTCATTGCCTTGTCGTACAGTGTTTCCTGTTCCAGGGCATACTTGTGTTTACCACAGTCCAGATGTTTTTCTAGCGATGAGTATTGTAGAAAGGACTTGACACATCCCTCTTCTGGACAGAAAAAAAGATCGCTTCCTTCGTCGTTACAGCTTTCATCGTCGTCGCTGTTATTTCTGTTCTGTGGGGCTTCTTCTAAAACCGGTGTTTGCTTTGGTTTACTCCTGGCTTTGGCAGTTTGGAAAGATACTTCAGCACTAGAACTCTGTTTCTGTTTGTTTAGCTGAGGAAGACTCCCAACTTGTTGGCGGAAGTTGCTCCAGGGTACAAATTTGCCAGAGCCAATTCCATAAGCTCTCCAAACATGCAAACCTTCCTGGGTGTATGAAATGTTGTTAATGAAACTAACGCCCTCCCATTTTACTGGAGTGGACTTTGCAGCAGGTTGTGGCCCGCTTACCGTCACCAGGACACCAGAAATTCCGCCAGATGACTCAATGGCCGTCATCATTTGAGAGGCTGTCTCTATGTCGTGGCCAGAATTGAGATGGGTGCGCATGTGACTTTTAATTGTCGCGGCCTTACGGTCACAAGATCCTTTTCCGCCTTGGGGATCGGAAAAGTCAAAACGCTTTAGTTCAATTGCATGCTCGCTAGCAACATGGTAGACTGAAAGTAATGTAAACGCGCTATGATAGCATCCTGCGTTATCGCTCCGCATATAAACAGAGTTGACTTCTGGCATGATTTCCTTAAGTTGACGAAAGACGTCATCAACAATGGCGAGTACAGTGGAGCTATCCTGGTTACAGCTTTCGAAGGCATGAACGAAAGTAAACAATTCAGTTTCATCATTTGCATTCTTCCTCAATGCTACACTGATATGCCAGGGTATGCCACGTTTTCCGAACCAGTCGCTTTGACTTTCTCGAAATTTTCTCGGCAGAAACTTCATTGCCCAGTCCGTCACCACTAACACTGCTTGTGCATTAAGATTTTCCAGAATTTCATGTCTTGCGGCATCCTGATTTATAGCGCGAAGGAGATGGGCCTTCCAAGCTTCAATACTCTGAATTGACTGTGAGATTTCATACTCCATCTCGTCTCGTTCTTCAGCGCTACAGTTAACACTGCCAATAACTGACTTGATTTCACGCAATAATGTTGGGAGAAGTTCGCATCTGTCGCATTTTGAATCGTGCTCATGATTACAGACTGTGATGTAATCGTTATCTTGAGGATAGCTGAGGGCATATGTCCGACAATGATCTGCGACCTTCGATTCTTCAGATACGTGAACCTTAGAAACACAAAAAGCTATTTAGCATATATCAATAAGTGAACATGAAAGCACAATATACCAATCTGGCATTAAGAAAAACGTATATACAGGTAACTTTGGCTCTACATCAAATGCTCATAGATTCTACAATATCCTTTTCTGCTTCATTTCTAACATGCTTTGCCGGGACACGACACTATATAAAAAGTAATTCTACGCATTATCTATCACAGTTTTTTCGGCCACGAATTCAAGCACCCATAGTGCCAAGAAACGCAGTGTTTCATCATTACGAATATATCGAATATGTCTATCTTTGCACAATTTTACCAGTCTGTTAAATTCTTTATGGTTTATTATCCCTTTGATGTGCACTAACCGTAGAAGCAAAAACAAGAAAACTAAAATATCTTAGACAGAAGCAATCTTACCTTATAGTCACCTTTTAGGTAGCGTTTCGCTAGATGAAGTTTCTCTTTCTGCACCTTAGCCCACGTGAAACCCTTTCCATAATTATCTCCAAGCTTGTCTATCACTTCTTCTAGTTCGTCAAAAGCTTTGGCGCCGGCAGCTGAAACATAGTCCAAACCTTGCAGAGATTTCCTCGTAGATGCGGAACATACACTGAGAACTTTCAATAGCGTGCTGCGACTCATTGGTACGAAGCCCACATCACTACAGTAGCTTAGATACTGAAGGACAATGTGCTCAGGGATCAAACTTCGAACAACATTGGGAACCTTTATTTCCGTATTTGTGGACAGTTTCAGAGTTTTCTCGCCAAAAGGCAAGTCTTGAATTATGTGGGTACTGGTGATGAACGACAAAAAATGATCGAGTTTCTCTGGCGCAATGTACATTCTTGTGCCTTTAACAGATTGTACGTTCGCACCTCTACCGTGGAGTAATAAATGATGTCTAGCTATGTTAAAACGATACCTGGACAAATTAGGTATCCATCTTTGCAAATCTTTGAAATTCACCTTATCCGCCATGATGGACAAAATCTGCCTTCGAGAGCTCCAATGGTCTGCGTTGTTATAACATTCGGCCAAACATTCCATCAGAGAGGAGTCAATAGCACTTTCGTCAAGCTCTGATTTAACCAGTGAAGACAATAAAGTCTCAGTTTCCCCAGGTACAATCTCATCCAAGCACGCATTAACAACTTGTCGTACCTTTCTAGTATAAAGCCTTTTCGTCCGCTCGGAAGCTTCTGCCCATGGTGTTTCCAGGGAATGGCGAATTGGACTAATATCTCTTGAAATCAGGAATTTGTTCAACTTCTCCCTTGGCGTTACAGTTTTCTCTTCAACAAAAGATGGTTCATAGAGACTACTTTCTAATATAGGACCTGTTATTGGGGTGAAAGAGATTTCACTTTCCTCTTCTTCTTCTTCCAACTCCTCCCCCTCATCCTTCTCTTTCTAAACCACAAAACAAATGAAAAAGAAGAGAATAAGAGGGAAAATTTAAATGAAGGAGAAAAAATACGGCAAGGGAAAAGGGGGGGGGGGATTACAAATAGATTTAAACATCTATGACAATTTAACGAAGCGTGGTTAACTACAGAAACCAATCATTCGTTCCAGTCTCCTCACGGTTATCTTTCTTTCTGAGTTATAGTTTAGAGAGAGTATCCGGATTAAAACATGTCAAAATCCCATATGAACATAAAACTGACTTTTGTATGACGAAAGCCGGTAGCAGAGATTTTTTCGTAGTATAATTTTCTTGTATCTAGCCTCAGCGAAAATCCGCGGGAACCAGCCCAATATTCTACGCATTTTGAGGAAAAAAATTATGATGTGATTAGTCACAAGTCCCCTCTCACATTATGGAGACAAACAGATTGAATAGGGAGGACCTGCATGGTGTGTTTTGCCTGATACTTAACAGGATGACAGAAGACAGGCTGACTATAAATAGCGTAATGTGGATCAAAGCTTACCAGATTCAAGTTTTCCATCTGCATTAACACACTGGCGTCAGTGGAACGAGAAGTCGAACTTCCTATGGCTGACGACTCTTTTTCTTCTGCTACAAGCAGCCTGAGGGTTTTCCGACAAGATGCGCAAATACCTAAGAAAATTAAAGTCAAAGGCTTAAACTTAAAGTCAATATTTTTAAGGAAACGAAGAGAGGTCACTACAGTGAAACAAAGTTTGCAAACTGCAAACTTACCCGAGCCTATTTGAAGAAATACTCCAGTTTTCTTTAAAATTATTTGTGAATCAATTTTCCCGATTCCTCGGTCACATTTTGGCCACTTTTTCCCTCTTCTGTCATGATTGGACAATGCCTCTGGAACTCTACACCTCGCAGTGGATCCTCGCCTCCAGCCCAAACCAAGCTTTTCGCGATGTAATGGACAAATGGTCATAGAATTTATGTTTGCAGGTTGAGTAAATACTGCTGCTCTGCTGAGGATAAGGTCAACTTCGTCCATTGGACCGGAAAACCCCAGGCTGGCTGTGTGGTTCGAAATTGCTTTTGAACAGGCCAGTAAAGGGATAATTTGTGTTTCTTTTTTCCTGTCTCTCGTGTCAAATCCACACATTCCTCCTACGATGGACTTAAAAGAACAGCACACCTCCATATTCACGCAATGACACGCGTCGCAACTCTCTGTGTTTACTAACGTTTCACTAAAGCTGTTACAAAATGAAGATTTCTACTTTTGGACTGCAAACAAATTCTCTCCGTTCGCTCAAAACAAACAAAAACTGACACCCGTTTTTAAATTAGTACCGACATTCTTAATTAAATTTATTTGAAAAAAAAGTGATAGCGACGACGTTTTTATCATTTCACAAGATTTTTCCCCAGGGCAACGCCGAAAATTTTTTTTTGTTTCCTCAGGCAATGATTTTTCTATAGCGATCATATTTTCTATAGCGATCCTATTTGTTTTCCTTCTATTTTTACTCTGATATTTAATAAAAAATCGCTAAGATCCACTAGTCACTTGTTCCATGTTCCAGTCCTGTCTTTCTGCAGTTGTAGATTTCACTTGAATGAAGCGGTATTTCACAACACCCACGTGATAACATATGTTTTTGACTTGAGGTCTCTTGGTTCCGCTTTGGTTTACTGCTCAGTTCAAAACTAATGTTTCGGCAAAGAAGACTTACGAAAGGCACTCCTATACCATTTTTGAGGAAAATGGAGGCAGTGAAAACGCACAACAAAAACCAACGTCCAAAGCATGCAAAACAAACAATGCCACCGTGCCGCTATCATGTCGTGGGAAATTATTTTGAACGATTGGTTCACGAACCAAACGAGACCTGCAGAAATACAGTTTTCTTCATCATTGATTTGAAGACAAAAAGGTTAGATTCTATACGTTAAAATAGACCTCGACTTAATGTATTCTGCTTAACTTTTTAGGTGCTTCTGTCAAGTGTAGTGTGCTTGCAGTGTCATGTCACGTTTGGGACAAGTTGAAACACCGAAATTTATCCAACTTTAAAAATCAATTTCTTCGCTCTGAATCATTTCCCCAAAAAATCCTTTGGCACTCTAAAAGAACAACTCTTTGACTTTTAAACGCTAGGTTTTCAACGAATTATATGCAGTACCACGAGCTTAAATAATAGGCTAATTTTAGATAAGTTTTCTTCTCGATAAAAATAGGTCGGGCAAATTAAATTAGATTTTAAAAGTAAATAGCCGAGAATTGATAAAAATTGCTTTAACGGTATTTTTTGACATCGGTCAACAATATGTGGTAGATTTTATTGCTCTAGAGTGTTTTACTTTGTAACGCGAGGCGTCGTTAATCGCCCTAAATTTCACATTGAAAAGGCGGCGTTTTCACAAAATTCAGTGATTATCGATTTTCTCGAAAACTAATCGATACTTAGTAAAATGAACTATGCAGTGTTTTGTTTTACATTAAGGTCTACCTAAAATGAGATTATGGGCCGAATCGATTTTTGAGCTGTTGCCACGAAATTTTGAAAATGTTTGATTTTTGGTAACATTTGCTCTTAAGCGTGCGGCTGGGTGGCAAGAGTTGTTTTTCCCATACAAATCCTTCTAATTTTGGGCGGCCGTTGCGTTCGCTACTTTTGAGATATACGGCTGTACACTTCAATAAAGAGGAGAAGTATGACATCACGTTACCATGGTAGCTAAATTTCTCCATCACAACAATAGGGAGCTTAAGTAACGACGGCGTTGACGACAACGAGAACGTTGCACGTGCATCACGCTTTTTTTGAATGACATTTCTTAGCTGTCGTTACACAACTGTGACATGAAACTTTCTAATTTCACGCGCCCGCTTTATGGATTTAGTGAACACAAAAGAAAAATTTATTTTTTCTTTTTCTAAACTTAGATGCGGTCCTCTTGGATTCAATCTTAGAAAATTTTGCCGAAATTTGACAAATTAAATAAATTGGATAAGATCGGTGAAGTCTGAAACAGTGCGAATTCACTTCATTTTAATAAAAGAGATGCTTTCGGTTGTTGTCATCCAGAAATTTTGCTACCATGGCAACGTGACGTAACGACTTCTCCTCTTTATCATCGCAAACGGGAGCTCGACATTCTGACGCCTAATTCCACGTCGGACGGAAGAATTCGACGTCGAATAGCCTGTGTGGCAGGCGTTTGAAAAAGAAAGGAAAGGGGGTTTGGGGCGCGTTTCTTTCGCGCCTAAAACTCCCTTTCTCTTCCTTTTCAAACGCAAGCCACGCAGGCTGGACGCAGAATGGTGGGACAGTTTGTAAGCGAGACAGTTATTGAAGAAGAATGGCGAGAAAATTTTCGCATGAGCCGAAAATCCCTTTACAAATTGGCTAACGAATTGAGAGTGAATTCGGATACGTGTGGACGGGCAAATTCGATTTGAATACGGATATGTGTGCACGTGGAAATTTTTGAATCCGCAAAGAAAAATTTGCGGATTAAAAATATTGGGATACTTGTGGACGGGGCCGAAACCAATAGTGACTCCAGCTCACTTGCTTTTTGTCTGTTCTCCATAAACTATGGAATCTGGACATTTTCACGTCGTAGTCGTGCAGGGAAATGTCGGGACCGCGCCCGAGTTAAGACAGAGATGGTAGAATTCATCGTCTTGCCGTTTCCGTTCTCAAGTAACTTAAACTTTGGTCATTTCACGTCGTAGTTGTGCAGGGACGGCAAAGAAATTGACAAAAAAGCGTGATGCACGTGCAAAGTTGTTGTTTTGCTCATTAAACCTATTGCTTTTTTAGGTTCCTGTTGCCGTCGCCATTGTAGTTTCATAAGGTCCCTTTTGAATTAGTGATGCTTGCTTCAAATGCTTTTAATGGGAGAGGGTGTCACATGAAACTTTCTACTTAGCACACTCAGAGGTTAAGAATACAATTAACACCGCACCCGTCAGCTTAAAATTTTCCAAGAACCCACCCTGCCGACTTTAAGCATGTTCAGAACGTTTACATATATAATCAATGATCTCTGGAGACAAGACATTTTGCTTAATACAGGCGATATTAAGCAAAAAGTCTTGAAAATTTATAAGGATAATCAAGATTATCATACTCTATTAGAAAACCTTACCAATGTTCAGTGTTTTGATTTTCACCGCCTCTGCTAGAAATGTAAAATTTAGGTGAAAATGTACGATCCGCACTTAATTACCGAATTGCTTTTCATTGAAAGGTCACCATTTCTGACACACTCTTAGTTTTATAAGTTTTTCAAAATGAACTACTTCGATGGCTTTTCAACTACGCGGGGAAAGATTCAAGTTTTCATTCTCTCTAATTTTGTAGGTTAACGCGAGTTTTCTTCTTATTTGAGAGTAGCGCGGCTTCCCATCTTTTGATCTACTCTATAATCCAAGCGTCAAAGATCTGTAGCGTGAAGCGATTATGGCTGCTGATTGGTCCGTTTAACACGATGAATGGAGTCAGGTGCAGGTACCAGAATCGTTTCTTTGTTTTCAAGGCTGGTGACTGGTGTTGAATTGTTGTTAACACGAAAATTCCCGCCTAGCTATTAACGCTGATCAATACGAAAGAGTTCATTGTGTGTTTCAACAATATCGGATCAAAATACGAGAAAGATTTTGATTACACGCTCCAAAACTGCCTCAAAGAACCTCAACTTGTTGACACATAAGTTGAAATTGAAATAATTAAAAAACCTTTTATACAAATAAACTGTAAAAAAAAATTAACAAGCAGATTTTTTACAGTGTTGACGTGAATGCACGGCTTATTATTTTTTTTTCTCTTCAGCTGTTAGTTTGATCGGGCGTTCACGGTTCTGCACACTCACTGCATTCTAAAACATGAAACTTTTGTTATCTTGACACTATGAAGATTTACCCTCACGATATCACAGAAAACAAAAGTTTTTGGAAAGACAACAACTAGTTATAAGAAAAGATGAAATGCGTGCATTTATTGACCGCTAAGACCGCTTTGGAAGCCTGTTTTGCCTGAACACACATTTTCCGTTCAAACGTGTTATTTCTATACCGAGATAACGCTGACCAGAATGGTAGCTTTATCGTTGTTTATCAATTTCCTCTGGTACATGTCATCAAGCTTTTAATACATAATAATTTATTAATGACTTCGTTCCAAGCCTTTGTTCTGCGACTACTTGTTTGGGATCACGAGGAGAGTTTAGAACCAGGGATTTTGTTAAACCAATTCATGCAATTTTGAACGATGTGGAAGCCGGGCTGGTTAATTCTTGTATTTATAGCTTGTTTAGAAGTTAAAGGTAAGCTTACAAAGTACTATGAACTAAGATATTAGCAAATGATCAATCTTATGTCATTATTTATGAAATATCATTATATGAAAGACAGAGTGATTCATCATTTGCCTATGAACGCCTCTATTTCTGATAATTTTTGTTGGATGATTGTCCCTCTTTTAACCTTCAATGAAAACTTCATGATCCGGCCTAGAAGTTACATTGGAAAACAACGAAACAAAGTCATAGAAAATCACCAAAAATCCAAAACCTGTTATTATTTCCGCGATATATTTTTCTCGCTTGTTTCATAGCTTTTCTGCTACTTTTTGTGGTTTTGTTAAGTTGTATAACTTTCAATCCAGAGAAGGCAACTTAATAAGACAGCCAAAATTTCGTATAAAAATTGTTCCTTAAAAAAATCTCAAAGTGTCGTAGATTGTACGCCTGTTAGTTCTTTGAAACCATTAATATTACATAAGCAATGGCGACTTCGACTCAGTTAATCTCTTCTCTTAATTTACTTTTCTGCAGTTAACGGAAAATTTCATATAAAACCAAAAAGTCACAAATCCACGGAAAAACAGACATATGAGAAAGAAAGTGAGTATATGTTTACTAATATATATAGCGCTCAAAACATATGAACATTATTATTGTTATACTGTCACTTAAGGAAGAGATATTTGGAGACGAGAAACCCTTTTAGTTAGATTTGAGCGTTATTAGAAAGGCAGTCATAATCTGCGACGTAAGATCACCGGACAAAAGGGGAAATACACACTGTTAAAACTGGACCTTTTACAGAGCTAGTGAAATGTCTATTAAATTGTAAATTTGTAGACTTTTTATGAGTGCAAATCTTCCAAACTTTTTCAGAGGGAAAACTTGCATGTCTGTAAAAAGTTTGCAGATATTTCATAAAGTTTTTTTTTGATATATTTATATCGAGATTGGTCATAAAAATTCTCTTAGTTTTTCCTGCGGAATGAAGTGAGGAGACGAAGACTTGACCAAAAACTCTGAAAAATCTTTGTAAATCAGTTGACATTTATAGGGATTGTCTTGAGTTCTTTCTTTCCGTAAAATCTCTGTAAAATGGTATAAGCAGGGCAATACCCTTAGCTCTGAACACGCATACTTGAAATTTTATGTCGGTACGTACAAAATTCAGGTTTAAAATTCAGTGTCTTTGTAGCCCTATAATCCAACCTAACATGGCTTTATATCCAGTTTTAATGAAATCAAGCGTGCGATAGGATTAAAATATAACTTTATCCTTTTATTCTAATCAGGTCTATTTAAAAGACCTAATTGATCCTCGAAAACGAGAGGGGTTATTTTCCTTTAAGCTTGTCGTTAATCTTGTGCGCACGATTTCATATTCAACAACACCCCACATTAGAATCATTTTCAGTTTCTGTTTTATAAAAAAATAATAAATCGCTTGGACAAGGTTTGTCATGTAAACTGCTTGTTCGATTCGTTTTCCTTCGCAGCAAAACAAGTGAAAAGAGACACGGTTCCTGTGCCAAGCGGTAAGGAAGTTATGAGGTCATTTTTCTTCACGTCATGTTTATAAAACATTTTGATTTCCCGCCATGAGAACAAAGAACGTCCTGTATAAACTGTTTAGAAGTTATTGTTTCAACAATCAATTTATTTTGCCTTCTCACAAGAACCAAACACAAAGATAATAACAATGCTTGTCATTCCGCTCCTTAGTCAAAGACCTGTAACTCAAGCTGCGATAATTTCTGGCTGTGGCAGGTTAAGCTCTTGTTTGATTGGCCGCTGACTCGTTTGCTATCTCGTCGAAGGTCGCGTCCCATTCGCTGCCTTCGATTTTTTCCTAAGTATATCTATATTCATATCTTTCGATGGTCCGAATTTCAGACATCTCTTCGAGTCGCATACCCCTGTCCTTGAGAGGTGTATGCGGCTCGAAGGGATGTCTGAAAGTCAGGCTTAATTTACCGACTCATTTCCGAAAAAGGTTAATTTGTTTGTACATGTCGGTAGCTTGTAGTAATTAATTGCAATGCCAACACTGTATACACCTGTTTATATTTCATCAGGATACCCTTCAAGCTATGGTTCACAGTACACTAATATGGCTCAGTCCACCAGTGAAGGTACTCAGTCGCAAAAAGAACCATACATTTAATAACGTCCGGCCTTTTCGACAGGGAAACCATAGGATTTTGAGGGCAGAAATTCGTCTTTTCGTAGCTTGAAAACATTTTCAGTTAAGGAAAAAAGCGTATGTCTGCCTGGTTTCTCTAGACATGCATCTTTTCGCATACAGACAGTCAATTACACGCTAGTATAACAGACTAAATGTTTGCAATTTGCAAACCTTTTACGAAGTTGAGTCCCCTTTAAAAGTCCTTTTATTTGCTCCGTGTCTATGAACAAATGACGATGTTCTAGTGAATTCAATTAGTGCTTTTAAGCTAATGCAGAAATGTTTGCGGTTAAGTTGCAAATGTGTTAAATTCTGCCGGACAGTTATCTCTATCAGCACTGGGCCGGTTCCAAGTGTCTGTCTACAAGAGAGGCATCTTAAAGAGAGTCAAAGGATAGACTGAAGAAGGGAAGGGACCAACTTTAGGTATCTGTTTCACCCAGATGTTCGCTGGAGAGAATAGAATGTACTTCAACGTGTTCTAGGCGACAGCAATAGTATTCACCATTATTTTAACGGTAAATTTGTACTCCCCACCACTGTTGATTATAACTACGTTTCAGCTTACAACACAGCATCTACTGCTCAGACCAAATCAGCGATGCCATATCCTGCTGCCTCTCCAGCAACCTCTACAGCAGCAGGTGCTCCTGCCTCAGCTTCAGCAACCACCGCTGCCTCCGCTCCTGCCCCTGCGCCCGCCCCAGCCGCAGCCGCAGCCGCTCCTGCTCCAGCCCCAGCACCAGCACCAGCATCACCTCCAGCCGCTGCTGCTCCAGCACCAGCTCCAGCAGCTGCTGTCCCGGCACCAGCCCCAGCACCTGCAGCACCCGCTTATGCTGCAGCACCAGCCCCCGCCAGAGCGTCCGTGCCTTCTTATCAACCTTCATCCAGTACCTACAGCTTCAACTACAATCCAGCTCCAGCACCAGCTCCCGCTCCGTACTACTCGTACCCAGCTCCCGCGGCCTATCCTTATCCAGCGTATGCTACCACTATGATCGCTTCCGCAGGTAAATGGTCTCTTTAATTGAGAAGTAGTTATAAACTTAGATTATCCCTACTGAGCTACGTTCAAATTCTTAATAAAATATGGAGCTTTTTAAATTAATGAAATGCTAAAAAATATGGACCATTTCATTGATCGTTCTTACGACCTGTACTATGTATAGGACAGATCATACCACTTCAAATAATAATGCAAGAGAGTTTTTATTATTCACTGTATTATTTAATGCCGACGCGGAGTTGAAGTATATTTCGCGATGCAGAAAAAAAATGTCCTGTAGCATTTATGAGACAAACCGTGTAATGTTTGCAGTAATTTTTCAGTCTGTGTCATTACAAGTTTTCAAGCTTAAAGCACAGGTTACCGAGGATGAGTGATAGTACCACAGGGCGAATTGGAAACTTGTGAAATTACAGTGTTTTAATGGCGTAGCTTCACAAAACTCCGTGCGAGCATTATTAAGGACAAGAACAATTAACTGCAGAGTAAGTTACATTGACTATTATTTGGTATTTACCAAATATTTTAGGATCGTATCCTTACCCCATACAAAGAACACTGCAATTTTACAAGAATCGTACAGTGGCCGGCTGTCACTGAGCCGCCTGGGTTATCTGTGCTTAAAGAAGCTAGCCAGCCGCTTGAAGCCACTTACAAAGTAACCATTACTCAAATCACTGACTGTCTAAACAGCCATCGAATTCATATGCAATACATAAAACTTAGAAAAAATTTGAAATTTTTACTTTTCAGTTGCGCAAGTGGCTAAATCTACTGCTAGTCAAGGTATGATTCGGCATCATGAACACTGCTGAGACACAAACGACACAAACATCAATAACTTCGAGAACGAATAACATTTAAGACACGATTATTTAAAAAGCGGACGATATCGACAAAGCTTCAGTAAAGGCAAAATGTAATTTGAGCCTGAGTTAGAACATTAAGTTAAACCTCGATTACTCGATTACTCAAACATGCCCATAAGCTGACCAAAGCCACTAAAGATGCAGGTCTTAAAATTATGAATATACATAATGGTTGAGTTTTGTTATTTAACACTATATTTAAACATTGAAACTGTTTCCTCTTGTCTTTTGTAACGGATGGCAAGGATGGAAAAGGATTGAACCTTGAAAACGATGGGCCAGCTTCTTCAAGTTTCAATGCAATGCCTGCAAAACTTACCAAAAATATGTTTTGTTTAATGCTCCCCTCCAAAATTAATTGTTTGATACCTTCTTGATTAATATAGGAGAGAATTTCGTGAATGAATAAAGATACTAAGTAATGACTTTAGCACAGAATTGACCACTAAAACAGAAATATGCTCGTCACATAACCACTTTAATATGAGTAATTCATTGAGTAATTCTACGCACCGTTTGTTAAAGCAAGACCAGAGGCATAGGACAGGGTTATATGCTTTTGGCAAGGCATAATAATGCACTGAAAGCTAAACACAAGGGCACCCAACAACGTTTTCCTCCAAAATACATTGACACAAACACTTTCTAGGCTATCCAGAGTAAAGACTCGATAAATGCATTCTAAACGACGCAAGGGCTTCAGTACTATTTTCCCAAACATTTTAGATGCAAATAAACGTATTACGAAAATGAGAATTTTCTATTCCTCTCTCCATCGCATTTTTGAATCCGAAAATTTTAGGTTTCCTTTTTTGTACGAAAAACAGTCTTACCTGGGCAGTGAATTTACTAGATAAGCTTCGAAAATTGTACGTGAATGGAATGGTCATCTAGAAAATTTAGCCTTCCTCAAGTAATAGAAAATTCTAGGCAATGTTTGCTTCTCCGAACAGATACTTTACAGAAAACAGTCGTTTGGAGCTCCTGTAAACAATAGGTTTATAAAAACGAAAAAAATAAGTTAATAATAATAATAATGGAGTTATATAAAAATATATTCAAGCAAGGGTTGATTATTTTAAATACTGAACACCATCTTTGTGTCTTTAATCCAGGTTCAGGCAAAGGCAAAGGTATGTATTTCGTATACTAAAAAAAGGTTTTGTCTTAAATGTGTCGACTCCAAAGTCGAAGCGTACCGTGTTGCTACAGTATCTATAGGTTTATGTCATCTGATTCCTTTTTCACAATCATTAATTTGTTTACTAATTTTTTTATTTTCTCTCCCATAGCACGAAGCAATTTGGCAGGTAAGTGGAGAAAAGCATTTTAGTTGCGAAAGAGTTAGTTTAACAGTGGAAGATTTAACTTAAGCGGCGGCAGAATTTACTTTCTCCGGGGTAGTGTTAGCATTTAACCGCAGCAGGGTTAGCCCTGCAGCTAGGCAAAACGGCTTAGCGAGATTTCAAGGGTTTGTTCAGCTCAGTCACAGACTGAGGATAATTGAAGATAATTTCCCTGCTAACGGCTAGACCCTTGTGTTGTTCAGATAACCATGTAGAAATCCCGGTTCCGTCTGCAGTGGGGGGGCTAGTACTGAATAGTGTCCTCAATATAAATGTATTCAGGAGCACCTTTTACGGACAAGGGCCTTTGCTAGGTTGCATCGTAAGATGGCAGAGCCTGAGAGCTCTTACCTTCTGTTCTGGAACAATAACCTATTGTCTTGAAATAATATTTACGAGTTCTCCTACTCTTAAGATGTTTTTTGCAACGCGACCTTTGCCTCTTATTAATTTAAAGATGGCCCAAAGTAAGGCAGGCGCTTTCGAAAAAGCTGGCATGGATTTTCGGATCGTGTCTTCAGGCCCTGTCGGTTCAACAGAATTTCACAAGAGCTGCGACAATTTTTATAGCTTTTTAGGATAAAAGAACGTTTATCTTGCACTAGGCCTCGCTTTGCTGTTGATTTCACAATACATTCTACCACCCGCAAGTTACTACCAAAATTGCGAAGATCTAGTGGCCGCTTGACATTCACTTAGGAGGAATTGTGGAGAATAATTCATTGCATGTAATTTCCAAGGCACGATATATCATCCAAAAAGGGAGTAGAAGTTGTCTTTTTCAGGAAGTTCTACTGAACTGAAGTCATTTAATAAGTGGTCGCTGATGGGAGGTGGTCTCTTGTTAGAGGTGGTCATAGATAGAGGTTGGACTGTAATTTTTTTTAGTGAAATCCAACTAGTGGTCTATTATCAATGCTGCGTTGTGATTGGTTGAGCTACTACTAGGCTATATGTTATAGCCCCCTAGTTGCGAAAAGCGCGGGCTTTTAGGCAGCAAAACAAGGATTAAAGGCTAGCTTTAACTAGCTAAACTTTTATTATTCTCGATATTTTTTACCAACTAGTTGCATTTTACTAAAACAATTATTCCTCTCGCCCTCATGGGCTATTGACTCAATGCCCATTCGGGCTCGAGGAATAATTGTTAAATATGACAGTACAACCATTCACAGGAAATGAGTTAAATTGCGTGTAGGGGAAATTCGGAAATGGCCTACTGTAGTAGTGACAGACTTCTCTCTTTTTTAAACATTTTGTTTAGGTGTTTGCATAGATGACGAAAGAGCAAGCAACTTCTGTTTGAAAGCAAGGAACCCTTGCTTTTGTGAAGAAAACCACCACTTCATGTACAACTACTGCAAAGATTCCTGCAACTGGTGTGACTCGTCTGAGAATGTCGGTGAGTATTATAAATAAACATTGTTCATAAGCAATAACGCATTTCAGAATGACCAAAGTGATAAATGTTTAGAGACTAAGTTAGACACGTTTCCGTTATACATAAAAATCAACTCAGTAACTCTGTTTCAGTATCCGGCACACAAGCTCAAACATATGTATACGCAAAGGGATAAAAATGTTCCTTTTCTTGTGCTTGATCAAAATTGGAAGATTCTTCTTATTCCGTGTAAGCGGAATAAGAAGAATCTCTGCGACATTTCGACTTTTCGAAGAAGAATCTCTGACGAATTTCTGCGACATTGTTGCAACGGCAACGGCAACGAGAACGTCAAAAAAGCAATAAGTTTATTTAGCAGAGCAACAACTTGCAACGTGCATCATGATTTTTTTTTTTACATTTTTTGCCGTCACTGCACGACTACGAAGTGAAAATGCCTAATTTCAAGTTTTACGTAAGACGCAAACAAGCTACGTCAAAATTTTTCTTGACGTTTTCGTTGCCGTCGACGTCCTCGATGCTAAGGCTCCCTGATTGTTTCGAATCGTCACTTCATTGTGACAACATTGTTGCTAATAAAACCGTCCTTGTAACATCGCTATAAAGAGTTGAAGCAGCTGCTCCGGCATCAAGCAGGGTGGCTTTGACAAATAGTAAGACAAAATATGTTTTTGAAGAGTTAAATGATCGTACAATGTGTTCATCATCTCAACAGGACACAAATTCTGGAGAATTGTCAACGAAGCAGATCTGGATAGATCCTGGGTAATAAGCCAGATTAAGTTTTACTCTGACAAGCACGCAAAACATCCTTTGGATACTTCAGATGTTACTAAAGCGTTCGCCAGCTCCAGTTACCTAGGATATGACCCTAAAAGTGTGTTTGATAACAAGACCTCCACCTACTGGCTTCCAAATGGATGGTATAAACACGGTCCAGGCGAGGATTTCGTTGGCTACGAATTTTCACAGCCTGTTGCTGTGAATTCTATCCGCGTGGTCCACCAATCAGGACAAGATAACGTTGTGTCTAAGAAGATGTTCGTAGAGGCTGCTGATGCGTATGGTGGACCCTACGTTACCAAATGGATCATTGAAAACACTAAAGGAAAAAGCAATAAAAGATTCAACAATCAAAGTAGGTGGTTAGCGACTTGATTCGCTCATAGGTTGTAATCGTATAATATTTGTTTTATTTTCTAGTCTTTAAATCAACTGCGATGGAAAAAGATAGTTTATCCCAATTTTCTTTCTGAAGTGGTAGTAATGTCCCTTTTATGTGGATCCCAATTTGAAAGGATAACAATCGTTTAGTTTTGTTAGGGAACTAATGAACCACCAACTGCCAAACCAAAACAGATCAGTCCTAACAAGCATGCGCATGAATTACCTGGGTCCGTGGGGTCCAAACATGGAAGACCTTAGCACATACTCAATCATAACCTTGGCATGCTTGACGCTCGTTTCTTCCATCTGTTTTTTCAGCACGTCTTTAATCATTTCCAAAATATAAATTATTCACAGCCGTGCGGTGACAAGGTCTTTGATTTTTTTTAAATCTGTATGTCAATTTCAAAACAATAGGCAAGAAACCGTTTAGCAATGCTTCTCTCCACTACAGTGTATGACACTGAAGTGAACTAATATCGTAATTGGGGAGAATCGAAATTCTTAGGTTAAGGTACCGGCATAGCTTATGTTCCCGTACTGTGGAGTACCTTTACCTTTAGATCATCTATTTATAAACGACAGATGAAAACTAACATAATGCTTTTTTTACAGTGTGTCCTCTTTTCTGGAGACGTTTTGCAACTGATCAAGGTGTCTACTGTTTCAAGTTGATAACCGAATTCATGACCTGGCATGACGCAAGAGACAAATGCGGTGAATACGGCGCTGATCTCAGCTCCATCAGGGGGGAGGAGGAAGCAGACTTTGTTAAGAACCAAGTCCAGCTGTGCGGGTAGGTATCTCTTCAAAGTATATTTGGTAAAATCATAACCTGTTGGGTGTATAGACCACGCGCTTGGGCGGCTTGGGCGGCTTTGATAAACAATCAGGTCAATCAAGGACCGTAGTCTCTCGCATGCGCTTCTCCGAACCTATCTTAACTTTCATTCGTAACAAGAGTTTTGATCTGCTTACTAGATGTAGTTTCTGCGCTTCTTTGCAAAAGTAATTACTTTATCAAGATGGATCAACCATAATTCGTCGAAAGCTGGTCTTACAGAAGTCATAATCTGGTTCTTTTCCCCACGCCGAGAGTGGATCAATAGAATAATTTGCTGTTATCATAATCAATTAATTCTTGGGGTGGGAATTGTGGGTGATACTCACTGCGAAATCTCCCCAACATGGAGGGCTAGTCCTTTATCTCGCCTCTTACCCTCGATCCGCGATCTTACTCGTAAGCCTCATCATCCAGACAAAGTAACAGGCCCAGGATGACCCCTAAAGAAGTAGTGCTATTCAGTGAAAATGAACTGACGTGGAGTCCCGCTCTACGGACTCCCGCTTATTACAGACACCCGTTTATAGCAAACAGTTTCGTTGGTATATTTTCTCTAAAATCGACCCTCTTAATACGAACACCGGTTAATAAGGACAATGGTCACTTTTATGTGTCCCTAGTCACAAACTCTCTTATATCGTCAACCTCGCTTTACAATCATGTGCCAATTGTAGACATTGTATTCCGTTAAAATGTTGACAGTTTTCTATGAGTTAATACGACTTTATTACTTAAAAAAGTAGGAAAATATCGTGACATGTTTGACGTCCGTCTTTTTTCGCTTGTCTGGCCCCTGTACTGAAGCCCTTAAACAAAGTTTTCTTCCTTCTACTACACAGCTTTGAATTCCTTGGATTTATGCTGAAGTCTTTGGTCTTACTGTTCTTCTTCTTCTTAAGCTCTATAAGGCCCGTTTCAAACTTCGTGCTACTGCCGTGCCGAACTCAATTCATAAATTATAAATACATTAGAATACATTTAAAAGTTTGCTTAACTGTTTTTTTTATTTTTGTGTTTTGTTTTCGGCAAAAGCCGTACTATTCGACTGAATTAAATTCGACGTCTGAAACCAAGTCGTGCTAGTGTCATGCTGCAGTCAAGCTACAGTCGCGCCAGCTTAGCACGGCAGTAGCACGTCGTTTGAAACATGCCTAAGTCATGTGTCCGATAAGTTTTTTTTTCTGAGAGCCTGTTATTGTATGTCCTCTTTGTGACTGTATTAACCGAGGACAGTCCATTGTAATTTTTTGCCTTTGCTTTTACACAGATATACTTGGATTGGTCTTAACGACTTGAAGAACGAAAGTGACTATCAGTGGAGTGATGGCGCAAACTTAACTTATAAATCCATGAATTCACAAATGGATTACATGAAAGACGAAAGAGCTGAACAGGAAATGGACTGCATTGCCTCAGATCAAAATGGACAGTGGTCAAATTTCCATTGTGATGATAAATTCTACGCTCTTTGCAAGAAGAAGCTTAGTAAGTGACTGATAACTGATCAGAGTTGGGTTAACACTCAGCAAACAAAAGGAGTTGGCTTAGAGGATCGAAAGATTTATATCTACTAGAGTTGATAGACTAATAGAGACTTGTTTGACTGAATGGTAAATTCCTTGCGCTTCCATTTTATCGAGTCTCACGAGCCTCTTTATTAGCTTACTGAAATTTTATCCTTGTAGTTAACAAGAATTCCATTGTTTTACTCTCTTCGTTTTCGGTACTTTCTCTTTATGCTTCACATCAATGTCTTCTAGTCTTTGCACTGATTCTAGAGAGTAAACAAAAACTAATAAAATGAAAAGATGGAGGGAAGAGATTGAAAGGTAAAAGAGTAAGAAGCTAGGTAGTGGGGCGTCTTTCTCTTCACGCATCATGAAATCAATGTCAAGTGTCTTAAAGATCCAGCAATCGTTTGCAATAGTTTGGGAAGTATTCGTCAATCGCCAGGGACGAAAATGTCCAAATTGTCTAGCCGTTGTGTGTTTTAGGCGAATCTTGCACTTATATTACACTACAAGTTCATTTCTTTCTATTGATAGAACCAGAAGATGATGAAGATGACGATGAGGAAGATGAAGCCGAGGAAGTCAAGAGTCACAAACAACACATTAAATACCACATTTTAAAGAAAAACAAAGTGAGAAAACACAAGAAAAAAGTGAGCTTGGGTAAGTAAGACACAAAAAAATGACATTGAAGAAAGAGTTAGAGCCTGATTTCATGGAGGTGGGGGACCCCAGGTAGGTGAGGTAACCCGAGGAGGGTCACCCAACCTTTTATGTTAACGTGACCAAATTAAAATGAGAGATTATACGGACAAGCGGGTTACCCCACCTAAGCGGGTTACCTCACCTACCAGGGGTCTCCCACCTCCATGTAAACACGCATTAAGTTAATAATTTGGTACCATGTCGTTGTCCTGCACGTGTTACTGAAAACGACTGTATTTGTGACAAAAGGGAAAATTGACTCTTAACGCAACAATACTGATTTGATCAAACTTGCATCGGGTGCTTTTTCTTGTTCTTTTTCCACTAGTTCATTGAATTGGAGGTTTGCGATGTGACAGTGTTACTGCCCTCTTTTTCTAATTGGTCCCAAAAGATGGGACATGCATATGGTGCAGTTAGTTTGTGGCGCAATGCGTCATAGTTTGACAAAGAGTGATGAAAAGGTGCGTCTAGCGAAATGAGGACATCGTTGGTTCGACCACTTTGGAACTCATCAGTGTATTGTAGCCGCAAATATAATGAAATTGAGCAAAAAATCACCCATCTCATAACTGCAGCTTTTAGATCCTTTTCTAGAAGAGCTAGAGAATCATATGATCGCCTGTTGCCCTATTTAAAATTACAATTTAAAACTTGTAGACGCTGTTTGAGTGCCCTCTTCATCCAGCTAGGAGTTCAGATATTGAAGCACGGTTTATTTTTGCTGCAGCTGAAGAACTAAAAGACGCTAAATCAAGCGGAGCTGAAGAGGAAGATGAGGAGGAGACAGCCGACGAGGACGCCATTCGGGAGGCTGTGAAAGCTCAGAAGAATTCTAAGGACAGCGGAGAAGAAGAAGAAGATGACGACGACGACGATGAAAGAGAAGATTCTGCCTCAGGATCAGGTCGATCGGCCAGCACCATTCCGGACAAACCAAATAAGAGGTCTCCGCACAAAGTTTGGAAATTCTAGAGCACTGTTTTAATTGTCATGTCCAAGTAATGGAAGCATTGTATAACAAATGCAGTTTTATTGGGTAGCGTAAAAAGGCTCTCCCCGTTGAAAAAAAATAGCTTTACTGGAAAATACGCGGGAATGTAGATCCATGACTTCTTTCTAAGTCAAAGCTAGTGTGAGCAAGTGTGAGAACCAATGCTTTCATTACGTAATGCATGATGTTAGAATAGAAAAAACTTATGTTTTCTAAAAAGGAAAAAAAAAACAGTACAAACATACTTAGTTTTATTTTCACAGAGAAAAAAATGAAAAGGGGCCTGTCTGGCTAAAACGGGGAGGAGAACTACAAGAAAATGATAAGAAGACTTTCTGTTTTAGTCATTTATTCTTATCAAGTAGGTATGTTGAAGGGGTACCATTTTTCATCAGAAGATATACGAAACAGGAGCCTTTTCTGTCAAAAATGGTATATAAAAGGGTAAGAGGTTGGACCTCGGGGCGGAGCCTACCCGTATAAAACTCTGTTGAGTGCTCTCCGCGTGTAATTCGGGTTATGCAATACTGTGATGCGTAAACAGCTTGTAAGAATTCTTAAAAATGTCCCTAACTTTTGTTAGTTTTGATTAATTTTCAAGTTATTTACTAGTCTAGCCGTCTTTTCGTGTACACATTTTCTTTGAGTTTTACCGATGATTCTAAACCCTTTGACCCCCTGTATGAAAGTACATATTTCCGCTTCTTGATTCCATGCGTATCTTCGAGACGTCGCTAGGAAAAAGTCGGTTTAGTTAATAATTGGTCTCAAAGGGTTTGGAATCTTTGGTGTTCAAAGTTGCTAATGACGTTATGGATAGACGTAAATTTCACTTTTAGCTCTCTTTTTTGTTGATTGTAAATGATATAATAATTGTGCTATTAAAAACTTAACAAAAAGTTTCATAACTAAAAACAGTTGAATATTGATTTTAATTGCAATACCAGTGCGATAAGAACTGCATGTCTGTAGAAGCGAAGATCCTCTGAGCCCTCACTAGATTCCACCTATTGAGGTTTTAGGTTTATTCAAGTTCGTTTAACAAAAAAAGTTAGGCAGAAACGTTTTGTATTTGCTGACACAGTCGGGTCCCCAATGCCAGGCTTGCGCTTATAACAGTGCATGTTGCGCAGATAAATCAAGAACTCAAACGAACATCTGCGCGTATTTTATTCCACTTTCTATTTCACTGATTGTCCAACATGTACGTAACTTGTCAAGCATGCATGATGGTAGTTACATTTCTCATGTTTCACACCCTATATGGCAAGACTGGCACTATCAGTGTTTATACAGCAGCGTCAGCTTTTTAACTGGTTTTCGTAAGAAGTTTTTGGAGCACCTGATCCTCTTTAATGAAAATATGACAAACACACCCCTAGCCTTTTAGAGTCTGTTTTTTAGGTCTTTCATACCACCTCCCTCCTTACAAATAAGTGCACTTCAATGAGTGTGACCTAAATGACGAGTGTTTTTGCATGTTTACTGCATCAGGGGCACCCGACGACTGTTTTCCGTAAATTATCTGTTCGGAGAAGCAAGTATTGCTTAGAATTTTCTATTACTTGAGGAAGCCTAAAAAAATTTCTAGATGACCTTTCTATTGCTGTCAATTTTCGAAGCTAAATTCCCTGGGATTTTCTGAAGTTTGATTTTTTACACTTCACAACCCAGGTTAAACCATTTTTCGTTGGAAAAAGGAAACCTAACATTTTCGGATTCAAAATGTGATGGAGAGAGGAATCAAAAAAATTTTCTTTTTCGTAATGCGGATAATAATACTGAAGCCCTTTTATTTCGAAAAGACTCAAGTTCCCCTATATAGGATGATATAACAGATACAAATTTTATAGCGCCGCTTAGAATGCATTTCTAGGGGTCTAAAAAATACCCTTGATAGCCTAAAAAGTGTTTTCAATGAATTTGGGTGGAAACCGTCGTTGGGTGCCCCTGCTGCATCAACTAACATGACGGCAATCAAACTGGCTCTTTCCCTGGAGCCATTCATTGGTGTTACACAGCATGAGTGGTACCCTGAAAAGGCTGTAATGCACTGTTAAAAGCCGGGTTATGATTGTTTCTGCAGAAAATTTAGCTTGTTCAGCAGTTTTTGGAGCCGCGAGTTCTGCACCAGTTATAATTTGTAACGGTGGACTTGCTCCGACAGTGTACATGAAGTGATAAGAACTCAAAAGGGCAAGACGATTTATTTAGACTGACAGACTTACACTTTCCTTAACTGATTTTTTTACTCGGTTACTGCATTACAATTTCACTCTGTTCCTTCTCTTTGTCTTTCTTGGTGTTAGCTTCTTTCTCCCTGCCTTTCTCTTTTTCTTTTTTACTTCTCCTTTCTCTCTCCGTTTAATTACAAATTTCCTGTTCTTTATACCTAATCGTTTTTTAAAACTCATCTGACTATGTAGGTTTTGTTCATCAACATGCAATTAACTCTATAGGAAGAAATTAATTATAAAAGAAAACCAATGTCAAGTTGCGGGACAAGATGTTCGAGCAAAAAAGTGCTGATTCGGCTGATTCCAGAAAGGTAAGACTGTTGCAATATAAGCATATCAGTTAATTAAATCATGGTTTATTTTATCACTTTGCGTACTTAAGTAATTTGATAGTTTCTAGAACCTAAAAAGTTTATGCACGAAAATGACGCATTTAGTCCCGCAATAGTACTTTACATCCCACCTATGTGCGATATTGACGCATGGGTACTAGTTGACAAGTGAAGCCAAACGAGTGCTAATTGTCTAAAGCTACGGTAAAGCGGGAAACAAAAACGTGCATCTTGTTTTGAAACATTGCTGAAAAACGAGTTGAATAGCGATGTTGCTCGTTTTACCACCCACGAATTAAACCTGTCTTGCAACAGATCAGGTCTTTGCAGGTTGTGAAAAGTTGCTGCAGAAAGTAGAGAGTACGTAGTTCTACTTTTTTTTTTTTTAACAAAATCTGTAAATGTTCCCGCGTTTTACTGGCCCAATGCAAACTTGTTTTGCAGCAAGCGCCGTAACTCTTGCGTATGGAGCGACTCCCGCTTAATTTTATCCAATCGGAAGTCAGCAATCACGCAACTTTCAACAAACTGAATTGTTGAAGAGTAAATGACGAAAAGGCCATGTTCAAACTTTATTAGAAACACTGGTAGGCTCGGTCTTTAGTGGTGGGTCTCTCGATGAGCCCGCGATTCTCCCCACCTCACCGCTGCGCTTGAGGTGGGAAGAATCGCGGGCTCATGAAGTCACCTACGTCTCGGTCACTGACTGATAATTGGCTACACAAGAAACGCAACTAATTTCAAACGCTAAACCTTTTCTTCCATGTCTTTTTTCTTCTTTTCTTGTGTTTCTTTTATCTCCTTCTTGAGTGACTTTTCGCTTTCCATAAACACAAGATAAGCGCCTTTTCTGACCTTATTCTTGAGCTTAGTCTCAGCTGCCACTATGGTACCATGGACATTTTTGCCATCACCCAAACTGTACTCTGCAAACTGTAGATGATAAGATTAGTAGAAATCACAATTGCTGCTGTCGGTAGTAGTTTCACAGGCGTGGACGAGATGTTGCCCCTAAAAGGTGGCAGAGAAAGTGGGGTTTTCACGCAATCGCGTGAGGTAGTAGTCTGCTACACAGCCGTTTTTAGTGTCGTCACTCAACGCTCCTCCACGCTAAAAACGGCTGTGTGAAAACTTTGTCGATTAAGGTACGGAAAAACAGGCAACGAAAATGTGCAACTTGTTTTGCGACATTGGTGGAAAACAAGTCGAATAGCGATGTTTCGCGTGTTGCCACTCACGAATCAAACCTGAAATGTTGTTGCAGGTTGCGAAAAGTTGTTGCAAAAAAATTGGAGAGTAGTTCCACTTGCCACAAATTCTGTTTATAATACCTTTAATATGGCCATGTGATTTTATAGCAGCAAGGATGGTACAGTTGGTCGGTGCGCGGCCTTCAGTGCACGAGGTCCCGAGTTTGATCCCCGGTGACATATTGGACGAAAAAATGGATTTGCTTCAAATTTTCTCTGTGTAGCTTTGACTAGCTTTAATTAAATACCCTTAAAACGGAGCATGGAGAGAATGGGGTCAAATGTTTATCAGTTGAATTACTGTCACGAGAAATCAACGTAAAGTACGGTCCAGGGGGGGGTAAGCTACTTCCCATACATTCTCTTAAATGAAATCCAAACGATGTTCTCACAACTTGCAAAGCGATCAGCAAAGGTCTTGCCAGCGGATTTGTGTAGTGATCATGCGCATTACGTCAAAATCCATAGATCAACGGTCTTGAGAAGAAACAAAAACATGGCGATCGAAGGCGGGACTGTTTCTCACGATTATATTTTGGTAATTCCCAAATTTATTGATTTTATGTCGCTTTTCAGACATAGTGTGTGGTTTTCTTTTTCTGTTAAACAATTTCCCTCTGCAGAGTTTGGAATATGCAACATATAGCTCGATCCGTACAGCTGATAAGAACCGCCGAAGAGCTAGAGTTGAGCTATCAAGCAGTGTTTTGCTGCAAACCTTAGGAAAGTTAAAGTCGCTTCAAGGTACAGAGCTTTCAGTAGTAGTTGTGATTTGTTTATTAGGATCGTTTTGAATTTTAACTTTGGATTCAAGGTGTTGACTGATCGTAATAAACGAAATGAAATGTTATGAAGTGTGAATGTTTATTCAGTTATGATTGTAGAGCTGTAAGCTCATATTTATAAAGCTCTCTGAATTACTTGCTTCCGATAAATTTGACACTTTCTCCAGTAAT